CTAGTCAGGCCATAAGTATTGTCACACAGTAAAAACTTTTCTTTTAGAATGCTGGCCACAAAAAAGTTTATTGAATTCGAATTGTTCATGAAAATAAAACTGTATACTTTTTAGAATTTTACTCATTTTTACATATGGAGTGGACGCTTAAAAAAGACCGTGTTGCAGTTGCGATTACGCGCCAATTAAATTTTTTGATATACTGAAAAATTTGAATATAACCAAAAGATTCGTTTATCGTACCATCAAACGATACAATGAAGACTCTAGTGTAGATGACAGGTCAAGAAGTGGTCGCCCTCGATTTGTTAGGACTCCAGCAGTGATAAAAGCTGTAAAGGTGCGAATTCAAAGAAATCCCAAACGTAAGCAGAAACTGTTGGCCCTTCAGATGGGGTTACTGGCTGGCGGCGCGTGAAATCGACTTCATCCGATACAAAGACCAGTCCAGATTTGAATCCGTTAGATTACAAGATATGGTAACACTTGGAGGAAAAGGCGTGCTCAAAGCCTCATCCCAATTTCGAGTCACTCAAGACATCTTTAATTAAGGCAGCCGCCGATATGACATGGACCTCGTTCGTGGTGAGATAGACGACTGGCCGCGCAGATTGAAGGCCTGTATTCAAAATTACGGAGGTCATTTTGAATAAACTATAGTGTCATAAGAATCTATGTTTTGTTAAGTTCATTTTGGTATATAAATGGTTACATAATGAATAAACTTGTTTCAATTATTTTACATTAAACATGTGATAGAATTTATGACCTGACTAGGTAATATGCAATTTGGGTACAGATGATAAACCAGGGTCACATTGGGTAGCTTTATATATCGATACGAATGACGTCGGTGAATATTTTGATTCATATGGACGGGCACCTGTACGAAATTGTAAAAGATGGAACTGGAATGTTGATAGGACTTCAGTTTGTGGCGAATATTGCTTAATGTATTTGCTATATAAGCTTCAGGGATGTTCAATGCATAGTTTTACGAGTATATTTACAGAGAACACATTGTACAACGATATGTTAGTGGATGAGATGTTTCGCTCCTATTTTATAGATAATAAGTAATAAGATTTTGTATTTTATAAATAAAAATTTTAACAAAATTAGGTAATGTGTTTAAAAGATGGAACTGGAATGTTGATAGGACTTCAGTTTGTGGCGAATATTGCTTAATGTATTTGCTATATAAGTTTCAGGGATGTTCAATGCATAGTTTTACGAGTATATTTACAGAGAACACATTGTACAACGATATTTTAGTGGATGAGATGTTTCGCTCCTATTTTATAGATAATAAGTAATAAGATTTTGTATTTTATAAATAAAAATTTTAACAAAATTAGGTAATGTGTTTAAAAGATGGAACTGGAATGTTGATAGGACTTCAGTTTGTGGCGAATATTGCTTAATGTATTTGCTATATAAGTTTCAGGGATATTCAATGTGTAGTTTTACGAGTATATTTATAGAGAACACATTGTACAACGATATGTTAGTGGATGAGATGTTTCACTCCTATTTTATAGATAATAAGTAATAAGATTTTGTATTTTATAAATAAAAATTTTAACAAAATTAGGTAATGTGTTTTATTGATTATTCAGATTAGTGTTGTAGATAGGAACAAAGGAGTATAATACAATAGCATAAGCCGACCCACGCGCTGACGAATAATAGATAATGACGGTAGTCAATCAACAATAGATAAGTAGATAAGGACAATGGAGCGCTAATGACGGTTGAGGCTCGCAGCGGATATCAATTAGATAAGAGTTAATTGATCTGCACATCTCCGGAACCGTGCATCCTACGCAAAAATGGACCGCAGATTCGTGATCAGAGCATGCCAAAACCTTTTTTCTGTTTTTTTTTTTTAGGATTTTGAGTCGACGAACGTCGTGCGCCAGAACTGGTACAACCTTTCTACAAGTGCGCCAGAACTGGTACAACCTAACTACTCCCACTGCAGGGCTAATAAAGCTACTTACTATTAAGAAGTATGTGTAACGGAGCAGATAATATTTATTAGTATTCCCTAATCTACATAATTTTTTTTTAATAGGATAGGGTGACAAACGAGCACACAGTCCACCTGATGGTAAGTGGTTGCTGCGGCCCATAGACATCAACATCTATCTTCCATTACAAATCAAAATGCAGATGCGTTGTCACCCGTGAGGACTGAGATGGAATGCCTCATTTCCAGTAAAAAGGGTCTCCGGTTCTCTACACTCACCATACGAAATACAGCAGCATTAAGCTACTATTTCACGCTGGTATTCTGTGAGAGCGTGGTCCTTCCCCGGTCGAGCCGACCCATTCGTGCTACAACTATACTACTAATATAATTGCAGCATGGCTCTACCACGTATATATATAATATATAAATGAGGATGCCCTGAGTGAGTGACTCATTTACCAACGCACAGTTCAAACGCTATACGTAGAAATCTGAAAATTGGACAGAAGCTGCCTTTTATAACGTATGTCTACGTTATAAAAGACAGCTTCTGTCCGCTAAGAAAGATTAAGGAAAATTCAACCTTTAAGGGGATGAAATAGGGTGTTACAGTTTGTATGAAACTTTTTATTTCACGAGGAGATTTACTTACTAAAACTTACTGAAGGTACTCTATAAATGAATTCGGATTTAGCGTTTTTTGAAAACGACCCATTGCGGCCCGGGACAGAGAAAAATTAATCAATGCGTTTTTAAATTTGAAAATTATTGCATACACTTGAATTAAAAATAATAAAATTGACCTTTTTTGTTTCTTCAAAAATCTCCTTTTAGGGTCTTAAAATGGGGTGCAGAGTTTTTTATGTCAAATATTATATTAAAAAGTTTCTTCGTATTTTATTTGTGAATTGAACAAAAATCTGTTTGATTGTTTTTATCTGACCGGTTTTACTTGGGTGAGTAGATAAAATGTAACTTTGCCCTATAACGTATGTATGTCGATATATAAAATCACCCTATTAATTTTGCCAATTCTTTAGGTAATATAACTGAACCAACCTCGCTCATAGAAAAGTTCACTGCCTCTCGGTTCCTAGAGCGGTTCAGGCGGCTAGAGTTCACGCGTCGCGTCGTTCGCGCGCCAAGCCGTGTTGAATTATGTAAATTTTTCATTATCTCTTAAACTATGCGTCCAAATAACACGAGTTAATTTTATCTTCATAAAATTATCTTGAAGATGAACTATCGTTATAAATAGGCATATGGTATCGCGTAATTTTCTTAAAATGTAGTAAAGACCTATATTTTAGTAAAACATTGTATTCAAGTATCACTAAGTATTAGGCCAGCGCAAGCGCATAAACCATTTCGGGGGCGCTATTTCTTCTGCTTAACAAAAATAAATATTTTAGGCTAGCTGAGAAATGTGGCCTAATGCTAGATAGCTATCTACCTCCTGAATCTAGCTATAATATACCAAAATAATTTTTCAAATCGGCATGGTACTTCCAGAGATTAGCGTGTTTCAGCAAACAAACAAAAAAAACACTTTTCCGCTTTATTATAATAAACCGGAAAAGTGTTGATGTTTATATTCTAGAAGTGGAAGAAATGTTTGTGATTTCAGTTCGAGCCGTTCAAGGTTTGTTGGTCAGGATCCAAAAATTAAAAGTCAAAAGTTATTTATTCAACTAGGATATTATATAATTTTTGAACGTCGTTCATGGAGGCCGAGGGGTCCTTTGAGCTTGGGGGCCCCGGGGCAACTGCCCCGCCTAGCCCCAAGGTAGCTACGCCACTGAGTCTGTGGCCGGGTATTGCCATTAAGAAACAGTAGCGAAGAGCATTTCAGCAGTCTGGGTTGTCGAGTGCTCATCAACTACCATATTTGCAATTTTTTACAATACGGCCAACAATCACTGTGGCACCAGATAACAAGAAGCTATAGTAAATAACACCATCAGTAAAATACCAAACCGACGCCATAAACTACTATAAGCATTTTTTTTGTTTCGGTACTGTTTGAGTTGAGCACCTGGATCTAACAATTCTGATGAACACTTGTGATTGTAGTATTGGATCCACTTCTCATCGCAGGCGATTCCCTCCTTTCTATACCGATTCAGCAATATGACGCAAGCTTGAACTCGGGCCTCTCGTTGTGTTTGTGAGATAATTCGTGATTTTTTAATTGTTTAAATATTTTAGAAAGCAGGCTACTTTAGATTGCTACCGATACCTTCATACTCGTACATCTACGAGTGCGCCAGCGACAACTGACTTGACGACAAGTGTACATTACTCAATACAGGCAAATTTTCTCTTACTTTCACGACGTTTACTGTACAAGTTTAGCAAACTAATATAATTCGGTTTTATTAAAAGTAAAGTAAAGAAAGTTACAGCCTATATACGTCCCACTGCTGGGCACAGGCCTCCTCTCATTTCTGAGAGGGTTTTAGGGCAAGAAAGTATCCGCCGCGCTGCCCCAATGCGTGTTGGCGAACTTCACATGTCTTCGAAATATTTTTTTTTATTTCTTATTCTTCAAAGATGCAAGTTTTCCTCATCATGTTTTCCTTCACCGCCGAGCACGTGGTAAATCAGCACTTAAAATTGCAATTAACAATTTCATTGGTGCCGGCGGGGATCGAACCCGGGCTACTCGCGTTCTGTTATATTTACAGCGAGCGTTAACCATCTGAGCTACCACGGCTCGGGTTTATAGGGTGCTATCTTATTCTTATAGCGTTTGGAATTGTTCCTATCAAATACATGAAATAACTAGTTAGGTGCAAATTGTTTTAACAATATAATAATCATATTATATTTAATATACTATACAGTTCCAATAGCATAAAATACACTTATAAGGACTTAAACTACTTAAATTAAAATTTTGTATAAAGTCTTTTTATGTTTGTTTCTTTTTACGTAACACAAACAATAATGCTTAAAGAGAGATAAATGTTTATAAATTCATATTTTACACCATATTCTATTTATATAAATAGTGAACCTATTTTCAATATGCTACCGCAGAATCATAATCTGAATCAAAATTATTATTATTAGAATCCTTATACTTATTAGCGTCGTTGTGCACTTCCTCGTCGTTAAACATTTGATCAAACTCATCGGAATCTTCAGCAGAATAAACATTATCGTGACCCTGAGTATCATATAAAGTGTCTTGTCGATACATTTTAGCATCTTCATCCAAAGAGATTCCTTGATCGAATGTGTCACCTTCAAGGAAGTTATTATTATTACTATAAACATATTCGTTAGATTTCGCTTGTAATTTTTCTGCTCTGTATTGATTTTCCTTGTCGTCTTCGAAATTCTCATAACTTAGTTTATCCTCTATAGGATCTCGATCATTAGTACGTTTATCTTTGGAATCATCTACATTTTCATTATAATCAGTATGTATATTTTTTGTTTTATCAGAATTGTCGTTATTTTTATCTTCCACGTCATTGTCAACATCTTCTTCTTGTTCATTATCATCTTCTGCTTCTTCATTGTCATCTTCTGCTTGTACGTAATTGAAAACATTAGAACTAGATTGTGCGATTTCTTCATTACTGCCATTATTTATCGTTTTTTCCACACTGGTATCCATTTCTTCCGCACTGTTATTCAAATCACTTTCATTATCATCAGTCTGATATTTATCTGGTTTGTTTGTTCTTATGTTATATATTGAATTCTGATCGTTATTACCAGACTCCATATTACTCGCCACCGTTTGTAACGTTATGACCGCGTCATAGGGAATCCCCGTATTACCCGAAAATACTAGAAAAACGTATTTATAACCAGGACCACCGTCAATTATATTTGCTTTGAGTTCTGTGCCAAAGTCTATCCCACTCACTCTTACGTTAGTTATTGTTTCACCGTCACCAACTGCAGGGTAACGTAAAGCCAAGGAACCACCCGGGATTGAAACGCGGATCTGTTCCGTATTTGTTTTATCTAATTCTTCATTACCCACATCCAGTAAAAAAACAAATGGATACTTATGAAATGGATTGGCAACGCTTGCAACTACGAAATGGCAAACGACTAAAGCGAATAGCATTGTAACGTTTGAAGCACTAAACAGAAATGTAATGTCATGGTACAATAATCAGATACTTATATAACTCGATTTCATGGTTGATACAATCCAGTTTTTACTTGACCTTAACAGTGTAACATTTTCAATGTCGATTTTCTTTAATCTTTTATCGCTTGAGGAATGACCAGGAAGATTTAAGATTTTTCCTTATTATTGCTAGATGTGCCTTTAGGATTTGATTAATGTTTAAATCTATTTAATCTCGGCTACGGTGTAAAATAAAGCAATGAAACAACAGTAGGCTATGCTCTTATATTTATTTCATTCAAGAAAATTTTGAAATTAAAAATATGAGTAAATATATTTAGTATTTTACACAAACAGCCATCCATATCACAATATATGTTTCATCATTTCAATAATTAAATGATTAGTAATATTCATAAATGGAAGGTCAAGCCGACATGGAAAAATGGTAAACACGCATTAAACACTTTTATATAGCGTCAAAGCCAATTCGTTGTAGAGTAACAACGGACGTGTTTTTTTTTAAGAAGTAGTATACATTCATTAATAATAAATATTGTCATTATGCCTACGACAAAAAATCACGATAGGTATTTAAATCTACTAAAGCACCAAACTTTTATTGAAATAGCTATTAAAATTTTTGATAATATCCTTGTAGTTTAAACATTTTGAGAGCATCAATTGATTATAAATATAACAGGTTTTAAAAACTTATGAAATTAAATTTAACATTTATAATCCTTTTTTTCACTAAGGTTTTCTTATGCTCTCAGTATAGGTATTTGATGGGAATTGTAAATTAAATTTAGTATCACGCATAAAGCACCAAACTTTTATTGAAATAGCTATTAAAAAATTTTGATAATATCCTTGTAGTTTAAACATTTTGAGAGCATCAATTGATTATAAATATAACAGGTTTTAATAACTTATGAAATTAAATTTAACATTTATAATCCTTTTTTTCACTAAGGTTTTCTTATGCTCTCAGTATATTTGTAGGGAATTGTAAGGTCATTATTTAATAATTATCGTAGAAAACCTCTCAATTGTTTGTTTTGATGTTGCAACGACGTTTCGGCTCTCTCCGCCTTCATAATCAAATCGTCTAACTTATTATTTTGAGACGTTACCTGTTTATCAATCTTAAGTATAGGAGTTTTTTCGACTTTCTGCATAGTTTCTAAATCACAAAGCGCTGAATTAATGTCGCCTCCATTTTGTTTAGGTTTACTCGTACGGGGAGTAAACTCAGTGTCGTTAGCTCCAAGGCCTGTGTTGATAGAACCTATTTCAGAATTTTTAGGAGGAACATAATCTTTGTCGTAATTCGTTTGACCGATATAACTTGGCTCACTAGAATAAGATAAATTGTCTTTTGATGTTAGCTTTATTCGAAAAAAATTTGTCAGACTACCGCAAACACCCTGTAAAAGAAAATGTCATTAAAACACATGAGAGTTAAAATATTACAAATTACAACTTGGGTTTACATACCGGATAACCTTTTTTACCGTCTGGAAAAAAAATAGGGTGTAACATGTGAATGGAGTGGAAGCACTGGTATTCTACAAAAAATAAAAGCAAAAATTTAGAATTAAACGTTTAAAAAAAAATTTTGAACAATTTCTTTGCCCTTTGCCCTTGAGCCTGTGACCCTGCGAAGTGACAAGGTCAAAGATGCCTACAAAATTTATTGTTTTATTGCCGTTCGTAAAGTGGAATGGATATGATTTGAATTTCGATAGATTTTAATTCAAAATGTTTGTTTTTATTTTTTTGTAAAATATCAGTGCCATAGGCTTCTACTCCATTCACATGTTATACTTACCCTATTTTTTCCAGACGGTAAAAAAGGTCATCCAGTATACTTTAACTTGCCTTTAAGCGATTAATTTTAGTTTGAGTCGAAGATAAAATTGTGTTCAACTCATTCAATCCACTGCTAGTTTGTTTCAAATCATCGTTTAACATTGCGGTATTCTGCAACAAAAGTATCAATTGTAGACAAACAGTATTTACAAGTTACGCAGAAATTTACTGTTTTCGTTATAATTAGGCTATGTTGTGGGAGAGTAGTGACTCAAATATCATTACAGCCTATAAAAGTTCACTGCTGAACATAAGCCTCCCCCACAGATTATCTCATAGGGGATATTTGCCATAGTTGGCAAGCGGATTGGCAACCGCATTTTTTCATTATTTTGAGTTGTTATTGCAAGAAAACGTCGCTGCCTATCTCCTGTTACGATAGCCTCGGGACGATATGGGATGGTGGATAGTCAAATACAGATTATTTTTATAGGATAAGGGTGACAAACGAGCACACAATCCACCTGATGGTAAGTGGTTGCTGTAGCCCAGAGACTACATCTATCCTCGATTACGAATAAAAATGCAGATGCGTTGTCACCCGTGAGGACTAAGAAGGAATGCCTCGTTTCCAGTAAAAACGAGTCTACGGTTCTCCACACTCACCATACGAAACACAGCAGCGTGAAACTGCTGTTTTACGCTAGTATTCCGTGAGAGTGCGGTCCTTCCCGGTCGAGCCAACTCATTCGTGCTACAACTAAACCACTAATATATAGCAGACTATACAAACAACGAAACTGTCCTAAAAGTTAAAGTGACAGCCTATATACGTCCCACTCCTGGGCATAGGCCTCCTCTCATTTCTGAGAGGGTTTTAGGGCAAGGAATAGTCCGCCGCGCTGCCCAAATGCGTGTTGGCAAACTTCACATGTCTTCGAAATATTTTTTTTCTTATTTCTCAGACATGTAGGTTTCCTCACGAAGTTTTCCTTCACCACCGAGCACGTGGTAAATCAGCACTTAAAATTGCAATTAACAATATCATTGGTGCCGGCGGGGATCGAACCAGGTTTGCTTGCGTATTGTGAAATTTACAGCGAGCGCTAACCATCTGAGCTACCACGGCTCTAAAAACAAAAAAAAACTGTCCTAATTTGTAATTATTCAAAAAGCCCGTAGTAGAAACGGCTGGACATCAGCCTTCCCGTTATTAGGAAGACACTGCTGCCCATCTCCTGATTTAATACCCTCTGTCGATGTCGCCTCTTACGACACCCACGGGATGATATGGGGTATTGGATATTCCTACATGGTCACTACACAGCACATCTCAAAATAACTAAGGGAAATCTCAGAAAAATTATATTCACTGCACTTCACAAAACCTACCCATTCTACGTTTAAAAAAAATAGAATACGGTACACGAGCACACTGTTAAGTAGATGCTGTGGCCTATAGACATCATGTCCTTGACTATAAATCAAAATGCAGATGCCTTGTTACCAATAAAAAATATATCCAGTTCACTACACTCATCATACGAAAGAGCATTATATATTCTAATGTTTCATGGTGGTATTAAGTGAAGAAGGTTTCTGAAGCCATAATATAGCCACAGCGTGACTGTCATGTAAAAACTATACAACACCAGTGGTAGTAGCAGCGCAATATAAGATAATTATGTTGGTCCTTTCTTTAGAATTTTTTTATAGCATAGTGGCCCATAGACATCCACATTTATCCTTAATTAAGAATCAAAATGCAAATGCGTGGTCACCCCTGAGGACTAAGATGGAATGCCTCGCTATTTTGCGCTGGTATTCTGTGAGAGCGTGGTCCTGCCTCGGTCGAGCCGACCCATTCTTGATACAACAAAAATAATATAGCTGCAGGCTCTACCACGTAAAACGCTTATTTTAAATCATTTATTTTTATTCTTTTATCCCCTACACTAGGATATTCTCATGTATCGTGAAGGCGGTTTGCACTTTACATACACATCTAGAGCCGGAGCAATTACACAAACACTTTTTCCGTGCGGGATTCATTACTACAGTTAGCAGCCCCGCAATCAAACCGCGCTATTGAGCAGTCGATAATCGAAATATTAATTTAGAGATTTTGATATTGTTGTTGTAGTATCCCATCACACCTTACAATAGATATACAGAAAATATGTAGTATAATTACTCAATTTACATTTTAATACCCAGCTCAGATATTGTGTGAGGTTATCCGGCAATGGTTGAGATAAAATATTTAAGCAACATACCAACACTATGACTGTGAATATTTAGGGTGCTGATAATTCTGTTTGTCGTAACGTAACTTTACATAAGCTAAATATCTTAAAAATCTATACCTTAAATAATAAATAAAACTTTCAACCTTTCCTTTTATATCGTGGTTAGGGAATGTAAGTGCAAGGATATTTTTTGTATTCGTTTTTCAAAACAGCGCAATGTATTTGAGAACAGTAATATGTTTTCCCTTCAGTTACGAATTACATAAAATAGGTAATAAATGTGTATAAATTCTAAAAATATATACAAGCTTTCATAAGTATGATTTGTTTAGAAAATTTTGACTTTTATTGCTTAAATACGAATGAATTATAGTAGATAATAACGCCATCTATTAGATACCTACATGAAAAATGATATGGTTTTTAAATTGATTTATAATCTAAAATTCATTCTCTTCTTTAAGGACCTCTGGGGTCCCAGAGTACATTATATATACCTGAAGCTGAGGTTTTTAGCGGGAACTTGACCGTTGACGGATTGATGCTCGTGTTTTATCGTTTAAAATAATGGTTTGAATTTGAAGTGGATGTTGATATGTAAAAGGAACGATTTTGTGTATTAAGCGTTTGCTGCACACATGTGCACTATTCGTGGAAACGACGAAAATAAGTAGATACCTAGGTCTCAAGCGTTGGCGTAGGCGAACATAATAACTTAAGGCTTAAGTTAAGTAACTTAAGCCGTCGTCATCGACTGTCGGCTGGGTTGAGAAGTCGTCAAAATCTCCCAAAAACTTCGCAATGTGACACATCAGCATATTGTAAAGAAAAAATCTATAAAAACGAAGATCCCGAATAAAATGAAAACAACAAGGTGTAGTTACTAAATGTCGAAATCCGGTAAGTGCCACCACTACTGAAAATTAAACTATTAATGGCGCCAAATTTAAAATTAAAATCTTAATAAGTTCGTTTTTACCGAAATGAGGTAAGCCATTTAAAACTCTATGAAAATAACGGTCAATACCGACGATTTTTTTCATATCCCGGTAGGTACTTTGACAAGTGTTTATCAATATCAAGCACGTCCGCACCGGCCAATCAGAGTAGAGTACAGCGCAAAGATGGCTGCTATTCGCATGAGTTATCGGAAGCAAAACACTTTGCCCTCGTAGTTTTTATTTAATTATTTTTAACAAAATGAGTGAAAACAGTTTTGGTCTAAATTTGGTGGAATCAGATAAGGCAAGGAATAAGACTGTGTCAATATCTAGACAGAAACAGGCCCCGGAAAAAGCAAAAAGGTAAATGAAACACCAACACAGTACCTACATAAGTTTAACTGTATTGTAACCGACTTTGTACTACAGGCTTGTACTCAGCTTGAAAATTTATACTATCGTTTTATTGAGTAATGATAATTTAAAATTTTATAAATAATATAAAATAACCTTTATTTTAGCGTAACGGCGGAAAGGATTATGCAGTAAATACGTAAGTTCAAGGCTTAAAAACAGGGTGTGAATAATAATTGCTTAACCCATCTAATTAATTATTACCTAATCAGAAATCTGCTTCTTGTGGTTTTCTTACTTACATATACCTAAACCTAAATAGAATTTCATTGAAAATGTTAATTTTTCTTCTGTTTTCTATCTGGTGTTGACCCTGCACTTGAAATCCACTTATACATTTAACACAAGATGTACACGTTTACTTGTATCTGTAGTAGAGATGGGCCGAATATTCGTTTTATATTCGGTTTTCGGCATATTCGGCAGCTTTACCGAATATTCGGCTAAATCACCGAATATTTGTTTTAAGTGTCCAATATATTGAAATGTACGAATGGAGTAATGCGATGTCTTTTACTGTTGAAAGTACATTTTATTTATGGGTTTACTCTAGTGTCTCAAATGCATAAATCTATACATTTATGTTTTTGAGGCACTGTAGATTTATTTCAGATTATAGCAAATAGAAACTTGATAAAATGTTTTTGGACTCAAACAAATAAACATTATATCAAATTAGTAATTTCACTTTACTTTGATCGTCAGTTTGTCTAAAATAAGTCCAAATAGTAAATCTCCTGCCGCTCATTTTTATCATATAATTATAAATTTTCACTAAGAATAAAACAACGAAATACTTTTTTTCACAAGAACAGTCAAAACATAAGCATGTGCCGGCAATTTGCTCAATACTAGATGATGCAATAACTCTCAGGTGTGGCGTTGAGCGAGAGGCAGGGTCTGGCGCTAATCCCGCGTGGTTTACGGTAACAAGTTTCGACATATTAAATTGGTTAGGTCCCGAAGTTATCCTGCCGAATAATGTTCGGCCGAATATTCGGTTCGGTAAAATTTTTACCGAATATTCGTATTCGGTGAAATCCATATTCGGCCCATCCCTAATCTATAGTAATGCCATTATGGACTTCAATGGGATCAGATACCCGCCCGAAATTCAATTTTATAAAAATATTTTACAAAACAATGTCGACCTAACTGAAGAGAGAGGAGACGAAATAATAAATAATTCGCAAGATTATGAAATGGAAGAGGTTTTAGAATTTATTTAAATAAATGGGTTATTTTGATTCACTTGAAATCATTGTTTCATTTATAAAATTAAATATACTGATCTATTTCTTAAAATACCACAAGTGAGCTGCTCTGAATACGTCCTATTACAATGATGTCAATAAAACTTAGATAAATCCAGTATGACTTTTTTCAAACACCGATATAATTAGCTCATACACATTAAAATGCGGTATGTCCAAACTTTAACCCGCTTTTTTAGCTTATCCTATCATTAATTTATTATTTTTTTAAATTATATTATATGCAAATTCCTCAGAAAATAGTCTGATTATACAAAACAGCAAAAAATATAAAATCTTACACCAAAACACATATAACATCAATTTCCCCATTTCACTTAGAGCGAACGTAACGGATTCTGATATTTAACGAGTATCCAAGCCAAAAATTTTAACAAATAAATAATTTAAGGGACGCTTAAATTTTTCACATAGCTGTAATAGATGTTAAAGGTGAAAGCGTTAATAGACTGAAAATACGTTTTATCACGAAACAGACAAGTTATGCTGTTAAAATTTACGGCTATAATTTGTCCTACTGCCAGACACAAGCGCCCTCTCATTTCTGAGTGTTTTGAATTACGAAGCACCGTACCAATGCGTTTTGATCGACTTCACAACATGTCTTCAAAATATTTTTAGGCCTAGGATATACTGAACTTCCGTTGAGTATGTCGTAGGAATCCTAATACGTTGTAATGCATATAAATAATTAATAGTGAGCACACTACGCGAGTAATCGATCGATCCGTCGGCGGACCCGTTATTAGTCATCTATATGCAATAAAATGTATTAGCGTTCGCCGCGGATTGAAACGCGACGGAATTTACCGTTCAGTGTGACGTAGTCCTTAGTCTTCAGACCAGCAGTTCTCCTCACTGTGCTTTTATTCAAGTTGTCGAACATGTGGTAAATCAACACTTTAAAGAAGACTACTACTAGTACTACTAGTAACGCTAAATTAACATTATTAATACTTTCGGTAACCACTGCACGTAAGCTTATAAACTTATATTGCTTGTGTTAAGAATGGTTTACGACAATAGCCAAATGTTGGATTTGATTGATTTGAACCTACAACTTTCCAAATTAGTAGACCGTTCTTTAAACCATTAGACTACTGTCGCTTTAAATTACACTTAAAATTGCAAGTAACAATTACATTTTTGCCAGTGGGTAGGTATCAGATCCAAGTTACTCGTACTCTGATACCATGGCGATCCTTTAGGCCCTGAGCCTGAGCTACCACGGCAACTATATCAAGATATGTTCTTCAAAAAATGAAGAAAATCATATGCAATCGAAAGCCTAGCCTGAATTTGCGAATATAAATGGTTTGGTATTGTTCTGGGGGCACGGCAGTGTCCCCGCCAAGTCGGTCGGTTTCTATGGGTACGTTGTTGATATTCAAGAAGTAGAAGGTGAAGAAAAATGAGACGAAATCTAAACATACTTGTAAAAAAACCAAGTCTCGCAACTCAGTTCTTCTACAGTAAAAAGTTGTGAGATCCATGTACAAAGTCGGTTAATTTATTCAGTCCCTACTTAAGGGTCCTTCTGTTTTAAGTTATTACGTAATTAGCTAACTGTTAGGTTAGCTAATTACGTATATATATAAAATAATTGTTCCGGGTCGGGATATTTCTACTTGTGCAATTTATATTTTATAAACTGCCTCGACGATACAGGAGAAAAAGCTGGTGTGGGCGTAATGTTTTTATTGGTAATAAATAATATAGTCCCCAGGTGTTTGTTTGTGTTTAAACTCCACCTATCATTCGCCGCGGTTAATCTTTTCGTACAAGCAAAAGTGATCGTGCAGCGAGGCTGTACTATGTACGCATCGTGACAAGCGGTTGCTCATGGTTTTGAATACTCTTATATTTTATAATGTAAAGACTTCACTACTATATATATATAATATTAATAAGCCTTTTATTTCATGCTAAGAATGACATACATACATAGTTTAGAGAAAAGTTGAATAAAAAAAAAGTTTAAATCTGGATAATAATATATAAGTTTGTTAGCATGAACCCCTCCTCAAGTGAAGGTGTAGGCCTCCTCTACAGAATTCCATGTGTCTCTATCTTGAGCTATTTGCGGCCAGCAGGTACCAGCTATTTTTATCAATTCGTCTGCCCATCTCGTGTAGGGTCTGCCTTTGAGACGTTTGCCGATTGGTCCCTACCACGTTGTTACCCTGGTGGTCCATCTCTCGTTAAGTCGTCTCTTCGTTTTTTAGCGTAGGTTAGAGCATCCGTCGCTATGGTGGTGTCTCTAATTTTTGTGTGACGAATTTTTTGCATCTTTTTAATGTTGAGCATACTTCGTTCTATTCCGCGTTGGCAGGTAGTGATTTTGCTTTTTAATTTGGATGTAAATTTCCAAGTTTGACATGCGTAAGTTAAACAAGGTAGGAGGCATGACATCATGACTTTTATTTTGATATTTGTAGGCATGTAACTTTTAAATATCTCTTTTAAGGACCAGTACTTGTTGCGAGTATTTTGTACTCTTCGTTCTACTTCTAGTTCATTTTGTTTTCTGTTGAAGCTAATTTTTTTCCAAGGTATATATATTTCTCTGTATATTTGAGAGTTTCATTGTCCTCTGATATTCTTCTCTGTATACTATTTGTCATGACCATTGTTTTCGAAAGATTCATTTCTAGTCCTACCTGCTTACTAGCTGTGTTTAGTGAATCGATCATATTTTGTAATTGTGTGCTAGATTCTGATAGCAGAACTAAGTCATCTGCGAAACGTAAGTGGGATAAATACTTGCCATTGATGTTTAATCCTGTCTTTTCCCAGTTGAATCTTTTTATTATTGACTCTAGGATAGATATAAATAATTTAGGAGACGCCTTGTTTCACGCCTCTTCCGATGGATAACGTAGGACCAGTGGATTCTAGTTTTATTTTTGGTGTGCTACCTTTGTAAATGTTTTTGATTATATCTACATACTCTTGTTCGACTTTTTGGCTTGCAGGGCGGTCCATATGCTTGAATGTGACACGGTATCAAAAGCTTTTTTTATAATCGATATATACGATGTAGAGCGTTCTTTGCTTCTCGTGGTATTTTTCTATTATTTGTTCTATAGTATGTATATGGTCGATTGTTGAAAAGCTCTTGCGAAAACCTGCTTGTTCTATTGGTTGGTTTGCTTCTATTGTGACACTAATTCTTTTGTTAATTATAGAGGAAAACAGTTTGTAGATACACGGAAGTAAGCTTATAGGCCTGTAGTTTGTGATAACTTTTGAGCCACGTTTTTTATAAATTAAAATTATTTCTGACTCTACCCACTGCGATAGTATTTCAGCAGTTTTTAATATAAGGTTAAATAAGTGTGTTAATGGGAGAGTCAGTAGTGGCGAAGCAGCCCTTATAGCTTCATTTGTAATGCCGTCTGGTCCTGGGCTCTTATCTAGCTTTAGCCTTTTTATATCTTGTGTGACTTTTCAGTTATTGGTGTTATGTTTCCGCTTTTGTTTGTAGAGTTAACATCGTTTGCGTTGATATGGCTGGTACACTCGTTTCCTTGTGCTTTGTATAGTGTTTGTGTATATATATAATTTACTTGTTAATGTTAATAAGAATTAAGAGTTCAAGAGTAAATTGTCACTGACTTTAGATGTTACCAGTATACAAATAGTAGTAGCACTAGTAGAAAAAAGATCAGCCTTATCAGTTATCACAGTCGTTAGAAAATGTGTTAAATGAGTGACATGCTCTTAAGAAGAATGAGTTAAATGAGTGACATGCTCTTAAAAAGAATGAGTTAAATGAGTGACATGCTCTTAAGATGAATGAGTTTTGCTTGTAATTTGATTTACATTAAGTATTCATGTAAAGGATTGTAATAACGCAGTGAACGAGAAGGAACTGAGATATGTAATCCTTTTAATAAGTCAGGGCAGTCTAAACGATCTTGAGCAATTTTACTTAGTAAGAACAGGTCAGCTGTATAGCGCCTAATTGCAGCTGGAGGAGATGAAGATGAGAACACTGCTGCAATTGATAGTTTTCTTCAGGTATATGAAATAACTGACGGAATTTGCAACAAGACCTTATAATAACACGCAGAGCCTTATATGCTTTATTAAAGATATCTTCCATATACTGGTCAAACAAAAGCTTAGTATCAATAGTAATGCCGAGATCCATTATTTTATTACATCTTTTTCTGTCAAACCTTTAAGTCTAAGAAAAATAAGTATGTCACGCTTCCGCCCAAAAGATATAGTATTACACTTTGAAACATTCAAGTGTAATTTGTTATGGATACAATAATTATCTAAGTTAATAAGATCGTCTTGTAGGAGATTAGAATCATAAGAATTGTTGACCACTCTAAAAACTTTCATGTCATCGGCAAAGAGCAAAAAATCGGAGTTCTGGAAGCATTCAGCAATATCACATTGATTTTACTTATTACTCGTAAGTGATGGACCTTCATGCAAACTTCTGTTCTATCCACGATATGGATAGAACTTCCAAAATTATTTTTATAGTGGATGTTTATGTCACAAAAGGAACCTGTTCTGTGTTGATGTGCAGTCAGTTAGGACAAGTAGTTATATATGAATAGATTATGTTCAATTTTCTTTTTAGTGCAGATATACCTGCACTGAGCCCGCGTGATAGTTACAGTCCACTGCATTTCACAGAGAGGAGGCGTGTGTTCCTGTGGGAACATTATAGGCTGATTATTATGCTTTATTTATTATTTTACAACTTGTTTTATAAATGGACGATAGTGTAGCTACATTGTCAGATCGGTCTGCCTTCAACCAAAATTATAAGTGTCTCTCTTCCTAACCATTTCTTTATTTATTTAATAATACATATTTAATAATATGATACGTGTCTATGTGTAAACTTGTGTTTGACCTTGTCTAGATTATGATTCATTTGTGTCAAGAACATTTATTTATATGTATAAAATTAGTCATAGTTGCCCAAATGAAAATCCGATAAATTATAATTAATATTATGCTAAATAAAAAAGTCAAATACTAATGTTTGTTTTATTGGACTGTTTCTTTAAATACTGCTTTCAGCATTTTATGCATATGTACACTGTGTTTTTCGATAATGATTTTGTTCAGATATCAATTATTGCTTAGCAACAATTGACCATATTGAAGGAAAATATCGAGAAACGCATTGTAGTTGTGCATACAATGCAATGCAACGTATATGTAAAATGCACTGTGCTTGGAATTTCCCGCCCTAACTTCTACTGTTTAGTTTTCGTGGGCGGTACACAGATGGCGCCGGTCGGTAAAAAAAATTTCCTCCTAAAATTTGTATGGAGTCGTTATTCTATCCCTTCAGGAGTACATATGTTCTGTGGTTTTTTTTTATAGAATAGGGTTACAAACGAGTACACAGTCCACCTGATGGTAAGTGGTTGCTGCGGCCCATAGACATCTACATGTATCCTCAATTAAAAGGAAAATGCAGATGCGTTGTCACCCGTGAGGACTAAGTTGGAATGCCTCATTTCCAGTAAAAAGGGTCTCCGGTTCTCTACACTCACCATACGAAATACAGCAGCGTTAAGCTACTATTTCACGCTGGTATTCTGTGAGAGCGTGGTCCTTCCCCGGTCGAGCCGACCCATTCGTGCTACAAGTATACTACTAATATAACTGCAGCATGGCTCTACCACGTATAAAATCTGTGGTGTTGTCACTCAGATTTTCGGTGATAGTTTTATTCTCTTACAAATGCCATAACCCGAAACTTTGACACTTAATAACTATTTGACTTTAGTGCATTAAATCACTTTTTGAATAAGGCTATAAGAAAAAAGTAGATTGCCACTGACTATAAAATAATGGCACACTTTCCCCTTTTCTTTTTTCCAATCGATATTGGACTTTTTAATGGCAATAAGTTTAAGAATATTTAGTCCATATACACTATACAGCTTTAAACTTAATTGTATCAAGGCCAGTTAGGTACCTTATTTCACGGGGGAGTGCGACTGCAGATACAGTTTGCTTAAATAAAGAACATGTATATCCAACAAAAGCTATCTGATTATTAAAAGAACACCTTAAAATATTTCATTCAATAGTCGAATAATAAATTAATTTCATTGTTATCTAATCCAACTTTGCGAAAACTGTGACGTGTTTTACCTCTTCGTTCGGAGTAATAATTATCTATAGAACTTTTATTTTCAACTTATAATAAAAAAAAAACGAAAACTTAAAAAATTACGAAAAACTTGCAAATTCAATTTAAATTGTTCATTACTTTATGGTGCATATAATACGCTGATGCAGTTGCGATAAATGGCTGAGATTAAATAATATCAAATGTAAATTGTGTACGTACCTCAGCTGTTCTTATATCCACTTCTTCGAACTCAACAACATCCAAATATCTGTGCTTTTCCAAAAATTCTTCTCTGTTTGGTAAAGGCTGACCAAACAATTCTGCTCTAATACAAGCATCTTGATATGCCTTTAATGACATTGTATTCTTTTTTTTTAACGCAATCAATTCAATTTATTGGTATTTTTAAATAAAAATTTACTATAAGGTAGAAGGTATATATGACATAATAACAGTAAACTACTTCATTTTATGAAGATTTTCATCTATACTTCTACAGGGTTACCCAATGGAAGCAAAGTTATAAGTATTGATTTTCTTTGATTGTCCAGCCAAACCAATCAGACTGTGTAGTTATAGTCCTATAATTAAACCTAACTACTCTAACTAAAGGGACTAAATTTAAGCGGTTAACTTATGGAAGAAACGTAAATAAATTAAAATTCAACTAATATATGAATTAATTGTGCTAAATTGCGTGTTACGTATAGTACTATTTTCTATCGCACAGTGCTAATTTAAAATTCGCGCTCAGATATGGCTCCATCCCACCCTTGCTATTTTCATGGTAGGTTGCCAGGTTAAAAATTGGCAAAATACTTTGAAGTATATGATATATATTTTTATAGTAAACAAAACTAAAAATATAATGTAGTTGTAGTACATAATACTTCAATGGCGAAGTATTTGACATAACAGAGTTAAAGTAAATAAATATTTATGTAATAAATAATTGAAAAATCAATTATCGTAATGGAAGGATGCGAACAGCTGAAAAAGTTCAACGACTATGTATACTGAAAATTTAACTAGTCATCATCTGTCAAAAAGTGAAATATGAAAAAAGTCGTAAGTCCAACAAATTCCAAACAAAATTGACTTTAACGCTTACGTTTAATTTTCTTTTTTTATGAGACCTCATTTTTTCTTTAAATCAGTGTAAGCCACTTTATAGTAACTATATTTAGGTTATTTTTAGTAGTACTTTAAGTTATTAAATGCTGTTGAGATCTATAGCACATAATTTATATAAGTATAAATCACCGATAAGAATATTTGCAGCTGCGATGTCGTCAAGTAAGTAATACATTTTATATTTCTATTGTTAATGAACCTTACTACTATAGTCAATTAAATCTACACCTTACTTTTAAAAACATATTTGCTGACGTACACATAACATTTTAAAAAGTTTGTTTACTACTGAAGTAAGTTGTCAATTTTATTTTTTAACAAATTGCCAAAATGTCTTTCGATACGAAGTTTCACGAATAAGTAAATGAATAAATTAATAAAACTAGCATTGTTTAATACATTTTGTATCAAACTCAATAAATACTTCATGGGCATTGAATTCTGTCACTCAAGTGAGTTAATTTCACATGATTAAACAATAATAAACTAATAAAAACTGGAGTCGTTTAATAATGGAGACCAAGGAAAGAGGCCCATGGGTGGTTGGTATATATTTGGTGTTAGTTATTTATTTACTGATTAAATATGCATCAACAGTACACAGTGATGCATTTATTCAAGCATGTATATTTTAATATATTATTTTCTAATATGTATTACCATTTCTTGTTTAGTGTGTGAAATATTTCTTTTCATAATATCTACTATGAAATTTAAATAAGAATACATTTGTATGAATTTACTAAAAACATTTTATATTTAATTTAAAATATATAATAACATGAGACTGTTTCTGTATCTTGTTGTGTGTACATAAATAAATAAACAAGAATAATTAATTTTTTAGATAATGCCTTCATCCACTTTTTAACCGTCAATAGGTCTCTAAGTTCACAGCCCAACATGGGTCTCCCATTGGAGGGATATTAGACCATAATTATCACCCCTAGTAAATTAGTTGATGATGGCAGTATGCCAGCATTCACATAACTTTGATGCTGCTGAAATATACTTATTCCATTAGAATAGAAGAATTCTTATTGAAAGTAATTTAAGCTTTACTACTGGTTTGTAAAAAAACTGTCCTGGGAAGAACCGGCAAGAAACCCAGTGAGACTAAATTAACATTTACGAAGTTCAGGGCAGAATTAATGTGCTATATTTATTTTTTTAGATAACTTAAAATTGCTTAGTCAACCAGGCCTTTAATTTTTTTCAAGGTGCAATATAACCTGGAATTTTATAGATGATTTAGTTAGTTTACGATGGGCTGTTTTCCACAACTCCATGTATAAGCACTTATTTTGCGTGTGGGCAGGAATAATGTAATTATTCGAGGCATAAAATCTCCCTGAACAAGTTCAACAGCCATTTGATGTTGCAAGCAACTTTGAGGAGTGATCCTGGCATGCTGAGATGTTAAACCCTGTATCAGCGACCTCCAGACTGTGGTTTCTTAGTCCCCCATACATGCCCTGCACAGGGGACTATCTGTAACATGTATGGTAAATAAATGTTTGTTAAAGGAGCCATGTCCTGGGATAGCACTTGTCACTATCCTGATCTGAGTTTTGTTCAGTCTCATTAGAACCTTGGTTAGACAACTGTTTATTTTAGCAAGGCCTCCCTAGCTTGTCTACAGTGTACAAATTTTTTTAGTCCCAAATTAACCACATTACAATTCAGAGCTTGTAGTACTGCCATACTGTCGGTCAAAATTTTGATGAACAAGTCTTTTACCTTCTTAGCATCGATTGCTATGGCCACTTTTAGTTCAGCCCTTACACCTTCATTTCTTTCAGAACCATCCGTGAAAACTCTAAGCTCTTTTGGGCTTAATCCCTCTGGCTGGCTGATTTCATTTAATTTTATCTTATACTTCATACTGAATACAAATTGCTTGGGGCAATTGCAAATTGTTTATAGATGATCAAACTTCACCGAATCATTTGTTCACTTTTCAGAACCTCTTAGCCTTGAAACACTGACAAAACTGCGGAAGAACTTCTATGCAGATCCTAAGAATGAGTTGGCCCAGAATGCTTGCACTCGCTTTGATCCGTTTGAAGTTGCAATTAGTAGAAAGAAGGCTGATAGTACATTGCATGTATATAACATAAAAGTAAGTACACCTAAACTTTTCCCGTAATGCAACAATGTATATACCACCACTAGGTACCAAAAGCATAAGCTTGAAAATCCTTACAATCTATGGAAGAATTCTATCTTTAGAAGTGGACTTTAATGGGTTGTAATGATTATAATTATGGCATATCCTCTATATATTTTTTTGTATTTCTAAAACATACATAATTTCTGATAATTTTGTCCTTAATTGCTGAGCGTGATGTGCTAATCAGCTCATAAAATTGTTTACAAACTTCAAAATTTTAAAGTTAGTGCTCATTCTCAGAGTTACCAGGGCTGTGATAAGGCTATTATCAGTTTTTTTTTAATAGAACAATGGTGTTAAAAAAGCTCCTAGTGAAATGTATAGTGGTGGACTGCCAACCATCCAGATGGTATGGATGATATCGGGAGGTTTATCGCATAGTGAGTTCATGAAATTTGGCGGCAAACACTCCCCGTGGTATATGCGAAAGAAAATGCAAAAAGATACAACATCTCTTCACGGTGCCAGTGAATCGAGTCGATTGGGAAGCACTCGGTCGTCGACGATTCTAGCTGCTCTGAGCTGGAAGCGGTGAAGTAGAAGGGGCTGGAACTGCAGAGCTCCAGAACAGAGATGAGAACGGTATTCCATGTGCGGCCGAACCCACGCCTTGTAAAGTTGCAGGCGGTGTGCCGGCATGAAATACTGTCCCGCTCTGCTGAGCACGCCAAGCTTTTTACAGGCCAATTTGGCCTTCTCTACCAAGTGACCACGTAACTGCACGTCACTCGATATGTCGACGCTGAGGAATCCGATACTGGCAGATGCAACAAGGGCAGTGCCTTGAAACTGAGGAGATACGACAAAGGTGTTCTTTTTAGCGGTTAACGCGCAAACTTGTGTCTTCTGAAGGTTAAACTGGACTAGATTTAGTCGTCCCCAATCTGAGACTTTGTTCAGCAAAGCCTCGACCTCAGACACAAGTTTGTCCCGGTACTCGAAGACGTTTTCCCGAGAAATATTAGCACGGCCGGTGTACAGAGAATCACCAGTACTGTCATCTGCATAGCATTGAATGTTAACGGTTTGCAACATATCATTGATATGTAGAAGAAACAGCATTGGTGATAGCACACAGCCTTGCGGAATGCCAGCATTAATAGGCTTGTAATCGGAGCATGCACCGTCTACAACGACCTTGATGCTCCAATCTGTAAGAAAGCTGGCGATCCAATTGCACAATTTCTCGGGAAGCCCATAGGAATCATTCATCATCATCATTACAGCCCTTCACAAGTCCACTGCTGAACATATTATAACCGACCCATTCGTGCTACAACCATAATATAGCTATAAATGTTTACTAATTAAAGTAAATCAATACTTTAGGCTTATTATTACTTTTAAAGGCAGGTTATTGTAAAGAAACGAAATTAGAAATTGAATAAAGTCATCATCATCATCATCATTACAGCCCTTCACAAGTCCACTGCTGAACATAGGCCTCCCCCAAGTAATAACACAAAGCACGGTCCTGAGCCACCTGCATCCATCGACTTCCTGCATGTCTTACCAGGTCGTCACTTCATCTAGTGGGGGTCGCCCTACACTACGCCTACTGGTACGAGGCTGCCACTCGAGAACCTTACTTCAGACACCTGCGTCTCGGACAGAATGAGCAGAGCCGGCCTCGCTGTCTCGAGATGGTAGTAGACGGCGTTTAGGTTAGAGTGAAGTCCCCTGATATTACAGAAACTTACGGATAGCGTGGCAGGGGTCGCCATGGTCTTGTTGCTCCGCTTGCCCCGAGCAGTTGTTATCTGAGCGGAATTTCGCCCCCAAAATACGCGGGGCAGCATGGGCACCCACGCTCAGGAGTGGAGTAACTTGGTCGTGGATGTTCAGCGAGGGATTCTCTAGGGTTGCCGGTACCCTCCTGGGGTAGTCTAATATTTAATTCCACTAACATGTTGATGGGGTGAGGGGGGAATTGGGCCTCCGGCTACCTGTACTCACCAGACGAAACGCGGAAGATGAGCTTTCATTTCACGCCGGTATTCTGTAAGGTCGTGGTACCACACCAGCTTGAACCGGCCCATACGTGCAACAGCAAAGCTGCCGCGTGGCTCTACCACTAAAAATGTATACTCACCATATGAACTCATGCAGCTATTTCATGCTGGTATTTTGTGAGAGTGGTCATTCACTGGTAGAACTATAGTATAACTAGGGCATGACTCTGCCACATAATGTATGTTTAATGTAACACAATATATTGATTGCAATTAGGTTGAGTCTGAAGGTAAGCCAGTGACTAATCAAGAGAACACTGGTCGGTGTTGGCTTTTTGCCGCACTTAATGTGATGCGACTACCTTTCATGAAGAAATATGGTATTGAAGAGTTTGAGTTCTCTCAGAGGTAAGTATAATTTAGTCTACATTTATCTATAGATAAATTGTATGGCTCCTTCCATGATTGTGCCATGTAGTGGTACCATAGAGAAAATCATCACCCCATATTATCACCATATATTGTATGAGTTGACTAAAGAAAATGCCCAGGAGATCTTGTACCACCAACAGAAGGTAGCATAACTATCTTATGTATTTACTAGTATTTATTTTTGAGTATAACCAAAAATACAAGCCTACTGACACATACTTGAATAGGACTTTAGTAGAATAATTTTTATTCATATAGATTACAAAAATTCTTATTGAAAGTTGTTTATGATTTTTAAAGTTAATTTATTCATTTTACTTTTTTTAAGTTTTTTTTTTAACAATGTGTGATCCTTTATTTAAGTCCTCTATATTTATCAATACTGGCAACTGAGAGCAGTGTCAAAGATGAGAAATGTAGAGTAGTTACTGCGATAGACAAATCACCTGACTATTGGAGAGGTATTTATCCCATATTAGCCCAACTCCTGTCAATTATCATCATCATCTTTACAGCCCTTCACAAGTCCACAGCTGCACACAGGCCTCCCAAAGGAATGCCACAAAACATGGTGTCTCATATTGGACATAAATGCAAACACGAAATCTGATTAAGTATTTAATATGTTTGCAGGTTCACAATTTAGTTATAAAAATAGGTGAGAGCGATGTTGCTTGTAAGACGAATGAATGATTTGTGTTGAGGTGCGGGAACAAAAAATGACACTTGACGTAATGCCTTAAAAAGTAAATTATGTTGAATAGTGAGTCCGATGTATTGCTCAATAAAAGCGTTATCCGCAGACACATGGTCTTACGCCATCTGCATCCATGGACTTCCTGCGTATCTTAATAGGTATATACACCAACACCATCTAGCGGTAGGCCGCCTTACACTTCGCTTACCGGTACGAGGCTGCCACTCGAGAACCTTCTTCCAAATCCTATTATTGGTTGATAAAAAAAATTGTATAATTGTAAACATATCGGTATATGAAATGTTTATTTAATTCGCAATTGTTAATGTAAATAGCTATTTGTCCTAATTATATGCACATATGTTTCAAATTGTTAAGGTGACATTGTAATGCAAATTGTACTTTAGATTGTATCGTGTTACATAAGGACATATAGGTGAAATTGTAGTTTTTATTAATCAATATCCAATGCACTACAATTATTTAAATTGCACTAAGCATTGGAGAAGGGAAAAGCTACCGCTATACCCCAATAGCTGTAAGCAGACTTCACATGTCCCCAAATTTTTTGATTTTGTCATGAAGCCTTATATATCCTTCTGTTGCAACCGACTACTAAGCCCCAATTGCTGTAAGCGGACTTAATATGTTTCCGAGAATGTGTTCAGATATTTAGGTTCCGTCACGATGTTTTGCTCAACCGCCGAATACGTAATAACAATGTTATTGGTACCCGCAGAAATTGAACTCGATTTGCTACTGCAACATTTATTTATTTTTAACCTTTATTGTATTCCCTAATGGATAGGACAAATGATGGACTTAATGCCTAAAGGAAATTTCTTCCTAAACCTATACATATTTTGTTACAGTTACCTATTTTTCTGGGACAAGATTGAGCGTTCACACTACTGGCTAAATAACATAGTGGAGACCGCTAAGCAAGGAGAAGAATTGCAGGGGCGTCTTGTCAACTTCCTTTTGAAGGTATGTCCATGTACATAAATATTTAACAAATCAAAAAGACTAAGTGTTTTAACATCCTGGTAGCAGGAGAAGTTCGAAGAAGGATGTTTTGAATAGAGTAGAACAATATCTAGATTTTTGTGTCAATTTCGTAGCTTATGCCTCTACTTTACAAACCATTCAGGCAGATACTTCGGGAGTGGTCCCATAATAATTTGGATAAAAAAGAGAAAAGGGGAGGAATAACAGATACTTATCTTCACGCACAATCCCTAACGGGGTAGCCAGAGAGAACAGATTGCCAAGTGTCACGATCCTTACATACCTCTTTCGCTTCTTTCAGGTTCATTAACTTCTTCATACATGCACGTCTAGGTATCCGAGTACTCTTGACCCTCCCCTCTTCGAGCAATTTGCTCACATGGTCTTCGAAAGTTAGTCTCGGTCTACCTCGACACCTTTTAATATTTACTTTCGCTCTATATATTTTCTTCACCATTCGGTCTTCACTCATTCGTTCAACGTGCCCAAACCATTGGAGTACGCCCCTATCAATTTTTGTGATAAGGTCATCTTTCAATCCTGTCATATTGCGAATCTCTTCGTTTCGCTTTCGGTCGGCTATGGTAACGCCACACATTTTACGAAGAGATCGCATCTCCACTGCATTCAACTTGCTTTTATGCTTCTTCTGGCATACCCAGGTTTCGCTGCCATATAACAAAGTCGGTACCGACACTGCGTTATGTATTGCAAGGCGTACACTCTTCACCACGCCTTGCCTCTTTACTAATGCATTCAGGGCACCATTGACTTTGTTTCCGGCAGCGACACGCCTATCCACATCTAAATCACATCTTCCATCCCGGCTGAAAGCACTCCCCAAGTAAACAATTTCATTTACCTGTTCTAGACATTTAAGATAAAAAATTAATTAGAGATAAAAAATAAAAAACTGTTACCTATCAAAAGTCCACTTCTGAACGCGGCGGGTTGGTAACCGCAGTTCTTTATTTTTAATGTTTTAGGAAGACGCTGCTGCCCATCTCCGGTTTGTTTCTATCTGCCACCTCTTACGACACCCACGGAACGATACGAGGTTCTTACACCGCCACTACATGGTAATCAATAAAATATGTCGTACTTCTGGTCTACGAGGGCGGCACTGAAAATTTCGGGAATCAAGGAAGTGACACAACATTACTATTTAAAAATGTATTTATTGCTTTTCGAAGTATTCTCCGCGAAATTTGACACATTTTTCCATACGATGGAACCAATCATTGAAGCAAGCATTCCATTCGGAAGTTGGGGTCTCCAAAATGGCCGTTTTGTAGGCGTCCACAGCTTCTTCAGGTGATGAAAAGCTCTGTCCACGCAATTTATTCTTTATTTTAGGGAAAGTATAGAAATCATTAGGGCTTCGGTCGGGGCTGTACGGCGGATGGTCTAATAATTCTATGTTTTCTTGCTCTAAAAACTCTTTTGTTCTGTGTGCGGTGTGAGAACTCGCATTGTAGTGATGGAGGATGATGCGGCGGTTGCAGTTCTCTTTACGGAGTTCAGAAACGACCTGTGGCAAACAAATGCTAGCATACCATTCTGCCATTCTTTGTCCCTCAAGAGAAATAGTCGTAACATGGCCGGTTTTGAAGACAAACGTGGCCACCATTTTTTTTTGCAACACTCCGTGAATGAACAATTTTTGTTGGCTTTAACTTATTTTTGAACACCCAAACTCGTGACTGGTTTTTTGTTTCGGGTTCGTACTCGTATATCCAGGATTCGTCACCTGATACGATGTTGTATACAGCATTTCAGGATCCTGCGTGGAATCTTTCGAGAGTTCTGACGAACCAAGTAACGCGCCGCTTTTTGCTCTTCACAGAGCGAATGCGGTATCCATCGGGAAAACAACTTTTTTACACCTAATTGTTCATGCAAGATTATTTGTATTATTTTTTTGTATTTGACTCAATTTTATTTCAATTTTTCTCAAGTTGCCTGAATTTCGCGGTATGTCACATGTCGATCTTCCTCAATCAGCTTACGCACAGCATCAACGTTTTCTTGGGTGACTGCAGTTTTTGGACGACCTTGACGGTGATCATCACTGAGCTTGACACGTTCACGTTGAAATTCAGCAAACCAGCAATAAATTGTGGCTTTGGATGGGGGTTCAGCACCAAATGTAGAAATCATCCGGTCAACACACTGTTTTTGTGTTAAAACACTTCGAAAGTCATAATAAATCATCGCTCTTGAATTTTCTCGAATCAATTCCATTTTCTCAACGACTAAACAAGTTTGACAAAACCTTGTGACAAGACCGAGAATCTTTTTTTTAAATAAATAAATGGTATTCGATTTTTAAAACCAAGGAGTTTTCAATTAAAAAGATTTTAATATGACAGGAACAGTGGAAATATTCCATTACCGATACTTTTAGTGCAGCCTAGTACTGTAGACTACCCTCACTATCAACACAAACGGCATCGTCTATTTTAACTTCTGTTGTTTATTTGCTAACGCTCGCCGGTTTTCAAAATGCCGAAGGCAAATTGATGAAGATTCCAATCGTGCCTATTTTGAGAAGAGTCATACTATTTTGTGCCGATTTCGCTGAAATTACTTGATAAGTGATTTCGTTTTTTTTTTGATGAAGTTAACAGAACTTAATAAAATCTCGTAAATGTCTTTTATAACCTCTGTTCTATTTTAATAGTTTGAGTACATCGACGTTTAAAATAAGAATTCATCATACTATGTTGTTTTATATAGCAAGGGGTCTTGATTGGTTATATTATATTCGTACCATGGGAATTAAAGTCGCTGGTATTTCCTACTATTAATAAATAAAAAATATGTCTATAGCTTTATTATACAGTATTTGATATTCCATCTTAATTTTACATCCAGGATCCCATCAACGACGGTGGGCAATGGGACATGATCGTCAACTTAGTGAACAAATATGGCCTGGTACCCAAGAAGTGCTACCCCGAGTCCTTCAGCTCTCGTCGGAGTTTACATATGAACGCGCTTATCAAAACCAAGGTAATACTTTACAATTTTATTGCCATAAGATTTAAACCGCCCGCGAAACGTGGTATAGGAGGCCTTTTATCGGCAGTGAACTTTTCACAGGCTGTAATGAATTATTAAAAATTAAGATTTACATACTTCAAATAATAAAAAATTGTTAAAATATTTTGCAAAAAGAATATCTGTTAGACATTGAGCAAATGACCATAAATAGTAAACATAAAGCGTATGTCTATGACGCGACAAAAGGAAGACTCATGTTTTGTTATCTATGCTCATCTATGCCATATTTCCATTTTAATTATTTAATTTAATTACTCCCATTACGCAATGATGTATAAACTTATAGATACGTTGTCCGCACTCTAAAATGGCAACATGAAATGAAGCCAATTGGCCACATCGCGCTTAGTCACGCACCAACCTGTCGCGCGACGCTACGTTTGTTTTTAATTTATTATATCGTGTTTCGTGTGTGTAAACCTGTGCAAAACATAAAGAAACATGCCGTCGTGTGTTTTCAGACGATGTACAAATTATACCCCAAAAGTTAAAGACAAAAATGCGTCATTTCATGCGTAAGTTCACAAAAATACCTATTTTCATTTCATTATATTCGACGACGCCGTCTAATGGCGGCCGGCGCATGCAGCTAGTAGTCAAGCAACAGGCATCCCGCCGTACGGTGTCATATTTTCGTTCTCTTTCTTCACGCGTATAAGTAGTTCTAGTATTTTCGCCGTTTTTAAGCGCCGCGATGTTCGTTCATGACGTGTCTATATATAATACGTCATTGCCATTACGTACTAACCTTGTTTTTCATATTAATAAGAAAATTAAGTTTAAATAAATAATTAAGTGCCGTATTAAGTGTAATTATTATAAATATATTTCACATACACAATAATATCTATAAAAATATTAATTATTATCAAAAACAAAAATACAGTAGTAATCTATTAAAGATATTTAAATTAATTAGCTAAGGTTTCACATTAAATTTTTAACATTTTGATAAAGTTTTAAAATCTTGCCGTAAATAAGCAGCTGATTCTATTAATTAGGCAGTGATCTATTGTTAAAACTTAAGGTATAATATCATATAAAGATACAATTGCTTATAGTTTTTTCTTAAAGACGCAACGGGAGCTTTTATCAGTTTATGACCGCCATATTTGTTTTACGTTGACGTCATTAATATTAAACCTACGAGTAATGTCACCCGTGCTATTCGGTATGTAAAGAAAATATTGAGCCATGCTGATTTAAAAACCGTTGCGGGATTTTAGATTTATGTACCCTATTTTGCTATTTTGAGGTACTTAAAAATAAGGAATGTCATTTATTTTGTCAAAAATACGTCAAATTAGTTGACATACATTTCACCTCCAAATGACGTCCTAGAGTGCTAAATGAAGTAAGGCCAATATCTAGTAATATAAAAAAACGTATTTTCTTCTTTCTTGTCATGTAACAAAACTTAACTTCTCAGTATTGTTTATAAAATACGATTTCATTTTGTGATTTATGACTTTGTTCGGAGATTCTTAGCACCCCCTGCCCCGCCGTTACCATGGTCGCCACCGTAGCCAGGAATAGCGGGGCCGCCGGGGACTGGGGGCCGTCTATTTGTGTAATTCTTCATGGTTTTTGTGGTCTATTTGTGTAATTCAGTTGCGATGGAATATTATAGGATTATCCGAGGTACGAAGAGAGGGGGAGGACACGGTGATTCTCGAATCCGGCAACTTATTCTATCACCGGGAGGGCGACCATCTGTCTCAAGGAGGTGTTGGATTTATCGTCCACAAGTCTCTCGTTAACAATGTTTTAAAGATTGGGAGTGTATCGACGAGAGTTGCGTACCTTATACTCAGAATCACCAAACGGTATTCGCTGAAGGTCATACAGGTTTACGCCCCAACGTCGGAACATCCCGATGAGGAGGTGGAGGAAATGTATGAGGACATTTCTAGAGCCATGCATTCCTCCAAAGCTCACTATACGGTGTTAATTGGAGACTTCAACGCAAAACTGGGCACAAGAAAGAACGGTGAGCTGAAGGTAGGGAAATTTGGGATAGGGCAACGGAATCCAAGGGGCCAGCAGCTGGCCGACTTCATGGAGAAAGAGAGACTTTTTATGATGAACTCATTCTTCCAGAAGCGGCCCCACAGAAAGTGGACCTGGTCGAGCCCCGACGGTTCAATAAAAAACGAGATTGACTTTATTATGACGACCAGACTCCAACTGTTCAGTGATGTCTCATTGATCGCAAGGGTGAAAACTGGCAGCGATCACCGAATGGTTAGAGGCACACTGAACGTTAAGTTGGAGAGGTCTCGTCTAATGAAGTCAACGCTCCGTCCCCCTCGTGCTCTAATCCAGAATCCTGAAACCTTTCAGCTCGAGTTACGTAACCGCTTTCAGTGCCTAGAAGATTGCAATGCAGTGGACGATATGAATAACAAGCTCGTGGAAATTGTCCATGCGGTCGGAGCTAAGTTCTGCAAGACCCGCCGCAGAAGAACACAAAAACTTTCCGATCACACTCTTAATCTCATGGCTGTTAGACGGGATATGAGGCTGCAATCGTCAACAGATTTGACAGCATACAGGCAACTGAACAGACAGCTCTCCAAATGCATGCGGCGAGACTTACGCAACTTTAATACTGCTCGTATTAAAGAAGCGATCGAGCGGAACCAGGGCTCCAAAGTCTTTGCCAGAGATCTGTCTGCCAGAAAGAGCCAACTGTCAAAGCTGAAGACTGAGTGTGGCAACATCGTTTCCGGGACACCTGAGATTTTGAGTGAGATTGAGAGGTTCTATGGGCAGCTGTACACATCATCGTTGGAGCCACACGCAAGTGTGAGTAACGATCCAAGAGCAAGTCTTATCCGACACTATTCCGATGACATCCCGGACGTCAGTCCAGCAACTTAAAAACGGCAGGGCCCCAGGCGAGGATGGAATTACAGCGGAGCTTCTGAAAGCGGGTGGAACACCGGTGAAGTCCTTCAGAAGCTCTTCAATTCCGTCCTCCATGGTGGCACTACTCCGGAGGCGTGGAGCAGAAGTGTGGTGGTCTTGTTCTTTAAGAAAGGCGACAATGCTCTCTTGAAGAACTACAGACCGATCTCCCTGCTGAGCCGCGTCTACGTGCTGTTTTCGAGAGTCATTACGAGTCGTCTCGCACGCAGACTCGACGACTTCCAGCCTCCCGAACAAACCGGTTTCCGAAAGGCTTCAGTACCATAGACCACATACATACCCTGAAGCAGATTGTACAGAAGACCCAAGAGTACAATCTGCCACTTTGCCTGGCGTATGTGGACTATGAGAAAGCCTTTGATTCCGTCGAAATTTGGGCGGTGCTACAGTCCCTTCAGCGGTGCCGAGTTGACTGTTGGTATATTAAAGTGCTGAAGTGTTTGTACAGTAGGGCTACGATGGCTATCCGAGTACAGAACCAGAGCTCGAAACCTATCCAACTGCAGAGAGGTGTAAGACAGGGTGACCTTATTTCCCCGAAACTCTTCACCGCTGCATTGGAAGACGTTTTCTAGCTACTGGACTGAAAAGGATACGGTATTAACATCAATGGCGAGTACATCACTCACCTTCGATTTGCCGACGATATAGTCCTTATGGCAGAATCGCTGGAGGACCTAAGCACTATGCTCAATGACCTCAATGGTGTCCCTCAATGGATAGTTTAATGTCCATGTCACACCTATGGCGGTAGTTGTTGGGAGCACTATGCTCGAAGTTGTTGACGAGTACGTTTACCTGGGACTAATAGTCCGACTAGGTAAGTCCAACTTCGACCGAGAGGTCAATCGACGGATTCAACTCGGCTGGGCAGCGTTCGGGAAATTACGACACATCTTCTCGTCAGGTATACCTCAGTCTCTGAAAACTAGATTGTACAACCAGTGCGTGTTGCCAGTGATGACTTACGGATCTGAGACGTGGTCCTTCACTGCTGGCTGTATGAGGATGATCAAGGTCGCTCAGCGAGCTATGGAGAGGGCTATGCTCGGAGTTTCTCTGCGTGATAGACTCAGAAATGAGGTTTCCGCAGTAAAAGCAGAGTGACCGACATAGCCCAACGGATTAGTAAGCTGAAGTGGCAATGGACCGGCCATATAGTTCGAAGAACCGATAACCGATGGGGAAGAAAGGTTTTCGAGTGGCAGCCTCGTACCGGTAGGCGTAGTGTAGGGCGACCCCCCACTAGATGGAGTGACGACCTGGTAAGACATGCAGGAAGTCGATGGATGCAGGTGGCTCAGGACCGTGCTTTGTGGCATTACTTGAGGGAGGCCTATGTTCAGCAGTGGACTTGTGAAGGGCTGTAATGATGATGATGATGATGATGACTTTGTTCGATTTCTAATTTCGTTTCTTCACAATAACCTGCCTTTAAAAGTAATAATAAGCCTAAAGTATTGATTTAGTTTAATTAGTAAACATTTATAGCTATATTATGGTTGTAGCACGAATGGGTCGGTTATAAACGTTTTGCTAAAAGAAACATCCTGTAGAATAAAAAGTAGCAAAAAATTAAGATATTGCTGCATAGGAACGTCCACAAAAGGTTTTTACATAACCTTATCTTGTGATATACCCTCATTGTGTTTACAAAATGTGTAGCTGTCTTGTGATTGTTATTTAAGTATGGATGTATGAAGTTTGTAGCAAATATGTTATAAATAGTCTTAATCTTTATTTTTATTTTATTTTATTTTATTCTTATTGGAAAACTTACAGCTAACATTAACAGTAAATAAGTGAATAACAACTAGAAGGCCATTTAAAAGTTTTCACCACTAGACAATATGAGCTTAAAAATAATAATTCCAGTCGGTAAAAGATAAACATTTAACAAACGATTAAGACAAATACAGTAAATTAACTAAATTACATAGAAAACATTCAACAAAAGAATTTTTTCGCTAAAATATTTTTGATTCGAGAAACATTGGTACTAAACAGATCCAAGTCAACGCTATTGGAAATGTCATTAAAAGTTCTGCATGCACGTATTATAAAAGAATTTTGCCTGTATTTATTCCGGGTATGCGGCACGTGGAGTAAGCGAGGCTTTCTTAATAGGGTAGCTCTTGTTGTAAAGCCTAATTTACTCAGTAGCTCCGGACAGTCAATATGACCATTTGCCAATTTAAAAAGATAAATCATATCTGCTATGCGCCTACGTTCGTGCAAAGGCAAAATATGAAATTTTTTTACATCGCGAAATGTAGTTATTAGTGTAAAATTGCGTCTTAAATTGCAGAAAACGTAGAAAACGTTTTTGTACTTGCTCAATCCTATCTATATAAATGTTATAATTTGAATTCCACACTTGAGAGGCGTACTCTAAATGGCTGCGAACGAGAGCGCAATAAAGTATCTTATATGTTTTAATATTATAAAAATCAGTGGAAAATCTCAAAACGAATCCAAGTGTCAATATGTGCATCAAAAAGTAATTTAGAATCGAAAAATACACCAAGATCCTTTACTGACTGTAATCTCTCTATAGTAGTGTCTTGTAATTTGTAGTGAAAGACAGTGGGATTGGGTTTACGGGTAAAAGTAATGATAAAACACTTGGACACATTCAAGTCAAGTTTATTGCGTGAACAATATCGTTCAAGTTCATTGAGATCACGCTGCAGACCAAGGCAGTCAGAAGTATTTGTAATGGGACATAAAATTTTCATATCATCAGCATAAAGGATTATTTTGGAGTAAGTGAAGCAGGAACCTATATCATTTATGAAAATCGCAAATAGCAAAGGACCTAATAGAGATCCCTGCGGTATACCTGAAGGGTATACAAGAAATAATTTAATATTTGTCAAACTAAACGCTATCTTAACTAATATCACATATGGTTTAAGGTACAAATAAAAAATGCACTGAGCAGCTATTAAACCGAGCGACAACAGAACAACAACGTGTACCGTCAGTGATAAGATAAATAAATAGAATAGACTTAATGTACCAGTGTTTCTCAAACTTGTTTCACAAATTGATATAGAAATGAACAAATTTATATTCAAAAAATCTTCTTTAAATCTGCTTCCGTTTTTATTGCATATGTAGGAGATGTCGCATTCTTTTTCATTAGAATTGTACAGTTTTTTACCCATGTATAAGAAAAATTTTTTCTCCCTTGCAAGAGCTTTTGTCTTATTAAGTAGCTGTTTATTCTCAAACGTAAGGTGGTCATTAACGAAAATCCTGCTATCACTTCTCAATCCTAAATCCGCAGCAGTTAAAGTTTTACATTTTTAGCAGCAGCTATAAAATTATCTCTCAGGTAACGGGTGTGAAGTGACACAATGATGTTTTTGGTGTTTTTATTATTACGCTGAGGTACTCTTGCTACGTAGTTGATTTGCTCCTTAGGAACTTCGTAACCTATTTTACTACCAATATTGGAAATAATAGTAAAAAGATTTTCAGACGAGGTTACAGGAACGCCTTTGATCTCAATGTTGTTCAGGCGCGATCTTTGCTGATTTTCGCGTACAGCGGCCTCAAGCTTCTCCAATCGATGTTCAACACGTACAACATCATCCTTAGTTTTTTGAAGAGACTGAATTTCCCGATCGATCTCGGTCAATTTGTTAGTAAGTACCTCAACCGAAGTATGCACATGGTTCAAGGAGTTTTTAACGTCCATCATTTCACTCTTCATATCCTTAAGATCTGAGATGTCAGCCTGGATAGTCTTGACACTTGCAATTAACTGTGGTAATGACGATATTTGTTTGGTAATCTTACTAAGCTCAAGACGAATATTCTCCAGATCACCATAAGATGGTACCCTTCCTTGTACTGTTTTCTCGGAAGAAAGATTAGGACTCGCAGTTCCTGTCTTACAGGTATTGCATTTCCAAGTAGCCTTTCTGTCCCCAAGTTTGCGATATCCTGCCTCTGTTATTCCTGCACATGGGAAATCGAAACGGTTGAAGCACATCGTACACTGCACACCATCCCTGGCTTCACTATTACACCGGTGACACATAAACATGTTGGATAAGATAAAGTTTGAGAAACTCCGACTACAAAAACAATAGCGATCGACTGGCAACAGCGCAATACATACGTTTGTTTCGTTTACCGTCTACCGACTGACTGTGTTATTAATGTATAATGACGGCTTAGGGTGTACGGTAAAACTCAAAAAAGTTTATGTTTACACCTTATTAATTGTTATACTTCTGACTGTATGTGAAAACAAAAATAAATGAAATAAATGAAAAATGACCGGAGAAGGACCACGCTCTCACAGAATAACTACAAACACAGCATCCTTAAGCTGCCATTTGACAACTTAAGGATGCTGTGTTTCGTATGGGGAGTGTTGAGAACCAGAGACATTTTTTACTGGAAACGAAGCATTCCATCTTACTCCTCAGGGGTGACAATGCATCTGCATTTTGATTATTAATTGAGGATAAATGTAGATGTCTATGGACCACAGCATCCACTTACCATCAAGTGGACTGTGTGCTCGTTTCTCCCCCTTATTCTATAAATAAATAAAAACTAATTTATGCGAGCTTACTCCGTCAACCAATACAAAGTTATTTACGCTATGCACGAACAATTACGGTACAAAGATTTTTAATTTTAACAATTGTTCTCGTTCCTCTTCAGTACACGTGATGACGTCGTCATTAGTAAAAGTTTAAAAAAAAACTAGAAAAAAATTACTACTGCTTATGTAACGAAAATAATTAATTTTTTTATTTATTAATAACCTTAATAAAGCAAAAATATTAAAACGATATTTTAAGAAAAGTTTAATACCGAATTATGACATATATATCAGATATTATATTTGTCAAAATTAATTGACTAGTTTAGAAATTACATCTGAATAAAGGAATTGACATACATACCGGCCCAAAAAAAATTTAAATCACACTATAAAAATCATTTATAATTACAAAAAGCTCAATTCCAGCATCGTTGAGCATTTATATGTTTGTTTTTAGTGTGTATTTACCAAGTTGTATATATATATATATATATATATATATATATATATATATGTGTGTGTGTGTGTGTGTATGTATTTTAATTTTTCATTTTTATATTGAATTTATGTGTATAATATGTCTTCTATGTATGTGTGTATATCTCTAATGTACTTATATATAGTACTAAGTATTGTTGCGCGCCTAAGTTGACGTCAGGTACCAATGGGACAGCTTGCTGATTCAGGATGGAGTCCTGTGCCGTAAATGGGACAATGGTCGAGGAGACCGCTGTCGTTCGCAAATGGTTGTCCCTAAAGCTAAAGTGCCGAATGTTCTACAGCCGTACCATAATGGTTGTTCAGGAGTCCATCTGGGAGTTAAACGAACTCTACTGAAGATCCGAGAACAGTTTTACTGGGTCCATTATCGTGACGATGTCGAGGATTGGTGTCGCACATGTACAAGTTGTGCGGCTGTGAAGGAACCTCAGATACGTAGTAGAGGAGCATCGAAATTGTACAATGTTGGTGCACCATGGGATAGGACAGCCCTTGACATTGCGGAGCCGTTTCAGAAAGGTGCAAGAAGGACTCCTAAGATCGTCCATGTGGATCGCCTGGCGCGTTATTATGGGGCCGATAATGCTCGGAACGAGAATGTCTTCGGAGGGGGCAGTGTTGCGCGCCTAAGTTGACGTCAGGTACCTGGCACTAGCGCCATCTAGTGTCGGGGACTAGAGCGAGGAAGGCTTCCTAAAAAATGTCAATCTTGATCTTTCGACCAACAGCGCCATCATCAGTATCGAACAGAAGAATTAAGCTCTCTAGAAGCCCCACACTCGTCTTTTTCTGCGTCTGGTCGGTCGGCGCCCGTATTTACTGGAATATTCTGGAATTTTCGGTGTAAAAAGTGTATTTAAAGCCGCTGCAACCCGCTATCAGGCCAGTATTGAATTTGGCGAGACAAGCGAAGCTTCGGAGCGAAATAAAGTGAATCAGTGTGATTAATTATTAGTATTTTAAGTTTTAATTGGTGTTCGGTAATAAAAGTGTAAATTTTGGTAATTCAATCGGCAGTTTTTATTGTCACGAACCTCAAGCTCGTAATAGTATATATAGGTATATTGATGAGCAACGTTTAGTTTTAATTTATAAAAAGTAGTTACGGAACCATATTTCATAAAATACACCCAGGCGGATCGTGCGTGTATCTGGGGTTATGACAGAATCATCAGCGCTGTAGGTTACTCTGCAGCATTACGCTGAGTCATAACCTTTTCACTGGCTCGATACACACCCCATCACTCGTAATATTAATCTACTAACTTTTAACTGTTTATAATTTTATTTTTGTGATGTGTACAGTTCCAGTGAATAAAGGTCTTTCTTTCTTTCTTTAAATATTACCCACCTTTTGGTCTCAGCCGCAGTCGTGTAAAAATTATTTACTTGTTTTCAGTTACGTGAGTTCGCGAAGGAGCTGAGAGACAAGGTCGCTGCCAAAGCCTCTGATGAAGAAATACAGAGCACAATAAACGCCCAAGTCGCTATCATATACCAAATTGTCGCCACTTGTCTAGGTATCAATCTTATTTTTAAATAGATTGATAAACTATTTCTTGCATATACAACAGGCTGCGATAATAATATAGGTATGTAATAAAGATATAAAATTGACGACTCGGCAGTGCAGTTGCAAAGGATTTCGGGACGCTATTTACATCACGCACAAAACAAATATTTGTAAGTCCTATATGATCCGAAAGTAATTGCGTTGGTCGTGGTGTGAAAAATTAGATAATATCAAAAAATAAGCAGAATCTCAATTCAAGTGTATTCTCTTTTTTTAATTTTGTTTTAAAATATTTTTTCCGCAAATAGTATTATAAATACGGCGATGTAAACTTAGGATTGCAAATAAAGTAAATTTTATTATTATTGCATCTAATAATTTCGTCATCGCACATCGCGACGAAACTCGAGACACCATCCATACCATCTGGATGATTGGAGGTCGACCACTGTGCGATTTACAAGAAGTTTTCTTTCTCGCACAACTTTCTTGTGTTATCGACTACCACCAGCGATTATTCTAGTCTGATTCAACTTAGGGACCTTCAAGAAATGAGCTTACTCTTTATAAAAGACCGGCAACACATTTGCAATTCCCCCGCTGTTACTATTGTTCATGGGCGGTGATAGTTATTTACCATCAGGTGAGCCGCATTCTCGTCTACGCTACTTCATATAAAAAAAAATCTATGTTACTTGATGCCTTCGTCATTGTAAACTGATTTTGATGATCCTTTTTTTATTGAAGGGGTGGTATCCTCCCTAAGGGTGGCAAAATGAAGTTTTTGATCAAACAATTTAGACGGCATTGAAATTTTGATATCCTGTAGTTCAACAAAAAGGGTAAAAACTATGTTATACGTAGTAGACTGTGGCTGCAGCTATATTATAGTTGTAACACGAATGGTTCAGCTCGACCAGTGTAGGACCACCTTCTTACAGAACACCAGAGTGATGTAGCAGCGTAAATGTTACTTTTCTTCGTTTGTTACTGGAAACGAGGCGTTCCATCTTAGTGTTAGAAGGTGACAACGCATCTTGATTCTTTATCGAGAATAGATGTAGAGATGTGTAGCACAGCATCCACTTAATATCAGGTGGACTGTGTGTTCGTGTGTCACCCTTAATTCATAAAAAACGACGCGGCTTCAAGTAGAGACTTAAAAGCGACGATGGCAATACTGTTATCTTTATATAAAACTAGCTTGCCAGGCAGACGTTGTTCTGCCCTTTTCGACGACCCTTTGTCATGTCCTATTAAAAATCCTTAAATTCGCAAAAAAAAATTGTGGGTCACTCACGGGCAAAAAAACTATCTTATCTCTCTCAAGTTGGACCAAATTGCACAGGATGTGAAAATTTGATTAAAATCGATAAAGTAGCTTATGAGTCCATCGCGGAGAAATAACGTGACACATAATTTATATATATTTATATAAAATATTCCACAGGTACTCCCCCAGAAAAGTTTACATTCGAGTTCTATAATAAAGAGAAGGCCTACAACAACTTCGGCCCTCTCACACCTCAAGAGTTCTACAACAAACATGTCCGTCCCTTATTCAACGTAGATGACAAGGTATTGTTAATTCAATTGTTGCAATATAAATTGATCTAAATACAAAATGAGCTTAAGACTGTCTACGTAGAAAGTATGAGGAAAGGGCTGAGTAATAAAGTAATGGGCTTTCATAAAAAAGTTCCAGTTTTTCTTTATAATCTATTCAAGGATTAACAATTGGTACATAGGTTTTTATAGTAGTCGGTTTTTTTTTTTATTGGTTTTACAAGTAATAGTAGAACTCCTAAAACTAACAAAAATACTGATTTCATTTTTTATTTTTAAAAATAAACTAAAACTGTTTACAGGTGTGCTTGGTGAGCGACCCGCGAGAGTCGAATCCATTCGGGAACCTTTACACGCTACAGTGCCTCGGCAACGTTGTTGGGGGTAGGCAGACTACATACAACAACCAACCCATCGATATCCTATTGAAGTTAGTAGATAATTAGGGTTCCACTCTCTAAAACAAGACTTAATTTGTCACTGAAATTGCAGTCTAATAACATAAAAATTTAAGAGTATACATATGCATTCAATATAGGTCTTAGCCTGAAAATGCGATGCAACATTGTATCGAAAATTTGGTAAAAAAATTCCACCCCTAAGGGAGGAGAAAAAGGGGATAAAGTTTTTATTATTATTATTTAGACAACGTTTCTGCGTTTGATATTTTTAGTTCACTCAAAAGGGTAAAAAATTAGACTTTAATGAAAAGTATGAGCCAACTTCAAAGAATTAAAAATAATATTTTATTACGTGTTAGAGTGCGTGATTGTAGCACGACTGGATCTTTCTACTGGAAACGAGGCATTCCATCTTAGACCTCAAGGATGACGACGCGTCTGCATTAGATTCTTAATCGAGAATAAATGTGGATGTGCACGTTTGTCACCCGCATTTTATAAAAAAATAAGAATAAAACAAATTCTGATAAATAACTTCAGAATTCGAGGCTTTAATACTTTTATACACTATGTCTTATCCTGAAACTATTATATGGAATTTAAATTGAATAAAAAGGATTTTTTTTTTTGGGTTTTTGTAAATTTTCTTTTTAGATATTTGAAGTGGGATTTTACTATTTATTAAAAGTCGAATTTGTTCCCTTATAGATAAACAGAAGAGGTTTAAACGACTGTATGATAACTATTGAGACCTTAAGTCTTGTTCACTTGCTTTTTAATCATTTATTTTAAGCAGACTTTGGTTCGCAATTCGACTTCTTTTTTTTTTGTATCACGCGTTATCCTCGCTTATTGTGAACAGATTTGAATGTTTTTTTTTCTAAGAAAATGGATTATACCTCAATGGTAGTGGAAATCACTGAACTCTGTAGTATACGTAAAGTCTATTATTAAAATCTGTAGATTTGTTTGCGGGCCGCATGATGATGCCAATACGATAGACATGACTGCCCTTACAGCTAGTACACACTAGGCGTTTCGAAGCGCGCGCTTTGGTAACGCGCGTTTTTAAGACTATCTAGTAGTCTAGTTAGGTACATTCGTACGCACCCCAACGCGCGTTCAACACCAACAATCACAATCTGAAAGCGCGCGTCATACACGCGCTGTCAGATTGTGGTTAGAACTAACTTTAAACGAACTAGATTTAAGATACATGGGCCGCCATTTTATTGTACATTTGATTGCATCTTAGAATCAAAATGCAGATGCGTTGTTACCCATGAGCACTAATATAATATGGAATACATACTAATATGGAATGCCTCGTTTCCAGTAAGAAAGGTCTTTGGTTCTCTACACTCACCATTTGAAGCACAGCAGCATTACTCAGGTATTCTGCGAGAGCGTGGTTCGATCCATTCGTACTATATAACCATAATATAGCTGCAGCGTGGCTCTACGACGTAAAAAAATTTACTAGAATCTGTAGATAAAAAAAACTTTATAATACAAGTTTTGTAAGAAACTCAGGCTTACTATGAAACTACCAATTTGTATAACATAAAACACATGCTTTTTGTTGTGTACTCAATATGTCACTTAATTTTCGAGAGAATTCGAACCAATACACATTAGGCGTTTTGAAACGCTCGCTTTTGGTGACCATCTAGTACGATACATCCATACATACCAACATGCGTTTCTATCCAAGCGCACATCAGACGTGCGCTCTCAGATTTTGGTTAAAACGATCGTTGCGCGGGCGTTAGCTTTTAGATATATGGGCTGCCATTTTCTTATACATTTGAACGCGCGCTTTCGTATAAAGTGGACGCATGTAGACAAAAATGGATTTCGGACATTTTGATACAGATTTCTTTATCGATGGAATCCAAAAGCGACCATCTATTAGGGACTCGCCCTGCTAACGCACGCGGTGTAATGTACGCTATCAACGCGCTCCTATCGCAACGCATAGCGCCCAATGTGTACTAGCTCTTAAATATTCGTAAACTGTCGTTTTGCTAAACTGTGGTTTAAATTATCTATTGTACTTCCACAGGGTGGTAAAAGATAGCATACAAGGGGGCGAAGCGGTCTGGTTTGGCTGCGAAGTCTCAAAGAGGTTTGAACGCAAGAATGGTCTTGAAGATTTAGACGCGTGAGTTTTACTAAATGTTTTATTTTTTTACCAACTGTACTATTTAGATTTTTTTTTTATGGAATAAAGGCCACAGACAACAAACATGCACACAGTCCACCTGATGTGATCTACTGTTTTGGCACTTAATGTATAATCGAAGTGTTTAGCTGGAAGTGATAAGACTGCTGGATTGACGATTGGTGAAACATCTTGAAATTGATAAATGCAGGTGGCTCAGTGTTTTGTGGCATTTTCCGAGGGAAGCTTAGTGTGCGCATATATAAACAAAAATTAAAACAAGTTAAATTAGTATTATTTATGAATAATTAATTTATACCAAAACATGTTCATAACAACGGATATTTCAACATAATTACTTTCTCAAGGGTACACTAGTCACTCATTCTTCCATACAAACGTAGTCTGGCGATTACTCCACTGTTTGATGGTGTACGTTCAAAATAAAAAATGATTTCAATTTGTCTCATCATTATCTAGCCCTGTATGGAAACATAAAAGTAAAAAAAGAATATATTTAAAAGTACTAATTTTAACACATTTTTGGGCGGAAATAAATACCATAAAAAGAAAGAAAATTGCAAAACAATTACCACACAGAGATAGATTAAGTGTTCAAAAGTGCAAATAATTTTATTTTGAACAGATACATTTAATAGATTTTTCATGATATCCAAATTCCCAAAGGTCTATTTATAAAATTTCATGCGCTCGTTTTGTTGTAAATCATCATGCCTTTCGCTTTCGCACGTGATGTCGGCTGAGATAGCACGCACTTTAACCCCGCCCACCACTTAGTTCGTGCCATCCACTAGGGCCACTTTAAGTCTAAACGTAAACTATAATTTAATGATTTCAATCGGTTCTGTGTAATGGCCGAAGCTAAGTGGATAGTGATTTGGATCAGATATTTGTTTGAAATACTTAAATGGTCAAAAATACTGGTGGGCAAATACTTTTGAGCGTAGTGTATATATAGATACAAACCATATCAATATTACATTTGTAAATGTTTTTTTATACGATAACGATGAGTGACGAGCACACAGTCCACGCATGTAGATGCTCTAATTATTGATTGATCACTTGGATTGTGACCCCAGAGGACCAAGAAGTTTAATTTTTACCAGTTAAAGGGTCTCCGATAAAGTAGCCATAAGTCCCATAGCGATAACTTTTATAATGAGAATATGAATAGGGGGACGCGGGAAAAAGATAATCCTCTGTAAAAATATCTAGCCTCATCTTAAATTTTTTATACATCACAAATCCTTAGTAACATTACAATATTTTCTCAATAATCACAGACAAGACTACAAGCTCGTGTTCAACACGGAAGTGCAGATCGGACTAAACAAAGCCGACAGGCTCCTATATGGTGATTCTTGTATGACGCACGCCATGGTGTTCACGGCTGTTGGGACAGACGTATGTTTATGATTTATTATTTACACGACATTTAATATGGTACGAAGGGTTCGAATCCCGCACGGATCAAGTATGTGTATGGTGTACAAAGAATTGTCAAGGTTCATATATTGCTAATGGGCATTACAAGTGCTCTGCCCTCATCAACCTGCTTGCTCAGTGGTGAGCATTACTCTTGGTGATGACATTCCAGTAATACTTTCCAGCTGACACATTCTTGGAAAAGCCACACAAAGAGGCTGTTGATTTAGTTTTTTTTTAATACAATAAGAGCGACAAACGCGCACACAGTCCACCTATTGGTAAGTGGATTCTGCGGCCCATAGATATCTATATCTATTAGGTGAACTAGTGGGTTGCCGGTTCAAATCCGGAGCGAATGGACCACAAATGGTTTATCTTATAGTTGCTAATTCAATTTCGGATTGAAGTATCAGTAATATGGTTGGGCCGCAGGGTCAGTTCGATTACGGGACTAATGACCACGTAATTATGGCTGCGCGAATGACGAAAGGTATTACGGGTTGAACCAAATGGTAGACTGTATCAGTGTTGCTCGTTATGAACCAAAACAAAATGGCGGACGTGGCACGTGGCGGTATTTGGACAAATATACTGCCTATAAATTAGATTTACTACATTATCCGGCACGACGGAACATCAAAATACCCCCCCTCCTTAGGCAGGCCCGGGCGAGAAGGGAACGGAAGTGAGAAGGGAGGTTATTTCTCGCTAATCTAACTAACTAATAATACAAATGCAAATGTGTGTGTTTCGGCGCAACCATCTATACCCGATAAAGAATCAAAATGCAGATACATTGTCACCTCTGAGGACTAGGATGGGATGCCTCGTATCCAGTAAAATGAGTCTCCGTTTCTCTACATTCAACATACGAATCACAGCTGCATTGAGCTGTTATTTTACGCTGGTATTCAGTGAGAACGTGGTCCTTCCCCGGTCGGTCGGTTGAGACGACACAAGCGTGCTACAACCATGAAATAGCTGCAGTCTGGCTGACGTCAAAAAGTGCATTTTATTATAGAATATTGTTTTGCCATAAGATGCAATTTATGGTAGTCACGTCGACTTGTATTTTGGGGAATGGATGATGCAATGAAAACTTCTTTATTGCTGCACTGCCTCTCCCGTTGAAGGGGAATTTTCCTTAATCGGCACACTTGTCAGATGGAAAGATCGCAGTTATGAACGTCTCGCACATTTGACGATGCCGGTTTTAGGTATTTGAAACCTGGCGTAATACATCAACCATTTTTATATCAGATGCATTATCGGCCCTTTAAAAAAGAGTAGGCTCTTTTCTTGAAGGTCCCTAAGTATTAGTTTTCCCATAAGTATTACATATAATCACTAGTTTGCCAGGCAGACGCTGTTCTGTCCTTCCGACGATCCTTTGTCCAAAAAATCTTTAAGTTTGCCATAAAAACATTGAAGGTCGCTTATCGCAACTAAAACTATCATATCTCTCAAGTTGGAGCAAGCAATACACATTTACAAATTTCATTAAAATCAGTTGAACGATTATGGAATTGGCGTAAACAAACATCGTGTTACGGGATATTTAATATTTATATATTATAATATTCAATTCTTTTTAACTGTGTATTTCTATTCTTATTTATCGAAATCCATGTGACTTTCTGGTAGTGTAGATGATAGTAAAAGTCGAATCCTAATCGCTTCCTGTGACTCCCACGGCAAGAAACGGGGAGATGTATTCTCTCATGCCGCCATACATAAAAAAATTAAACTTCCAACACCAAAAGTTATTCAATTACACTTGGTATTTTATTTTTATTTTTAAATTTTTATTTACAAAATTCTGTAATAGAAGTATTTTTATCGGAAAAATCATATATTTTTTGTGGTTTATTTTGTAGTAATTTTGTCATTTTACCGTGTAGTCGAATATCCACTACCTGATATTATCCCCTGGGCGTCGTAAGAGGCCACAGAGGGAAACAAATCAAATGGGTGGGTAGCATTGCCTAGTAACGACTAAAGATAAAAACTGCGGTTGCCAACACGCTTCTCAAGCGTGGCAACTATGGGGCATTTTGTGGAGGAGGCCTGTATTCAGCATTGCACTTTAATACAATAATTGTAACGGTCATTTTTCAATGACAATTGACACGTGTTAATCCCCCATTTTTTTATTTTCACCTAACAGCAACTAACTCCTTGATCTTAACATGCTGACCCTACCATCTTTATATATATTCGAAGCAGCTATGTTTGTAAGGAAACATTTTAGCATATTTGAAAACGCTAATAATAAATGACATAGGAACAAACTACGTACAAAACAACCCTGTGTTTAAAAAGTTTCCTGGGTATGGGCTCCTAAAATTTTTAATAAACTCCCAAAAAACATCAAAAAAAAATAATATAGACAAATATAAGAAATTGCTTTCGAGTTTTTTTAATAAATAAAGCATACTACTCTATCAACGAATATTTTGAAGATAAAATGAATGGTTTTTAGTACCTACAATAATTAACGTCCGATTTATTTATGTTTATGGTGTTAAGAATTATGTGATTTCTAAACATACGAATCATAATTCAAATTGTTATTTTATTAAAAATAAATTTTCATATTGCGAGGTGATAGTGATAAACAAATATTTGTATGCCTTTTAAGGCGAAACATAGTGTTACTTGTCATACCTTTTCCACCAAGTTTGTAACTTTTTACCTATGTTTTACAAATAAATTATTTGATTTGAATTGACTCAGTTTATATTTACAATTATGGTTAATGATCTCAGGAACAAGGCAACCCGCTAAAATTCCGAGTGGAGAACTCCTACAGTGACAAGGAATATGATAAAGGCTATCTCCTTCTCACAGCGCCATGGTTCAAGGAGTTTGTGTTTGAGGTAAGCAGTGCTCAATTAAATACTTATGTCAGTGACTTATAAGGTGGGGTAGCTCTTTTTGTACAAGCGGGTATGCAGGTCTAGAAAGACGAGTATCGCTGCGACCTGTAAGATATGTTGTGACCACTGCTATGGCTATAGTTATAGCATAGAGTAGAGTAATATATAAAGAAATAGAGCCATCTCCTAGGATTTTTTGTCACCCAATATGAATAGTGTCGCCACCTGGTATCATATCCCTTGAACTAATCTCAATATCATGTTGACTGTAGTTATGTATATACAGCTATCTATACTATAGGCGGTTATATTTATATTTTAAGGGATTAGGGTTCAATTAAAGACGTATTATAGATTTCAGTAACATTAACATTTATTTTTGTTATATATATTTAACGTACACGATGTAAAAGCGTCTATTCCGCAACACCAAACCAAATTAAGTATGTCCACCGGGTTACCGGAATGATAAATAAAAGCGTCTATTTCGCACAACACTACACAAACATACAATGTAATTCCAGCATGAAAATCTAAACAGACAACAAGAAACAGGGGGCTAATCCTAACTCAACCAAACTTATTGTAGCAACAACCGAAAATTACTTATAAACTATAATAAAACAACATCTTGCTCAGCGCCGGTAGCCATTATGTCATATAAAGTTGCTACTTGCCAGTTCGAGAATAACCAGAATTGGTGTAGTCGCCATCTAGCGCACCTTTTAGAATTTAATGTTCGAAAGTTTATGGGGATATAGTACAAGATGGCACTAGTGTCTTTGCAAATTATTGAACCCCAACCTAAAGTATGGAAGTGTACCCCCCCCCCTGAGTTATAGCTAAGCCTTGAAGCCTAGGTTATAGCTTATGATTGGAACCTAAAAACCCATAAATAATTGTCTTAAACTGCTATTGTTACTTGCACTTGGCACATTTTAAAAATTGTTCTCTCGATGTGTCCATCTCTTTAAATAAAAATCAATTGCTAGCGGTTATTATCATAGAATACTATAATACATAATAGAATGGCTGTCAAACTTATTTTGTACGAAATTCCGCGTCGCCGGGAGCACACATACAAGCAATTAATAACATCGTATTATAACTATTACAAACCCGATTCGCTGTTTTGATAGACTGAGTAAATTTACATGTTTAAGACTTTTGATTAATCTTTTGAGCGCCATAGTCGCCTATACTTGACAAGCACCTGCGAGCTATAAGCGCCAACGACGTCTATAGTTGAGAAAAAACCCGGCCCATAAAAATATGAAATATAGATATTGGGAAATAATTACTGGTATTTTAATTCTACACTCCTCAAAGAAGAATAACCTAGCAACATGCGAGTAAAAAAAACAAGTCTCCTAGAGCCACGAGTACTAAGAAACACTGAACTAAAAAAATGGATTTTTATCTAAGCAAATACTATGTCCAGCACGCCAAAGTCGTCTATGTTTGACCGCTAGTGTTGTAATGCGTTAGGCATAGATTTATTGAAAAATATTCAAAATTAAACGCAAGCGTGTTATTTTTTTAAAATTATTATTAATATTTGAATAAAACAAAAGGTAAGAAACATAAAACTATCATCAGCTACATAAATAAAAGAAAATTTCATCAAATCAAATTCGCATAATAAATCTAATATCTCAACTCTGGCGCATCCTTAGCGCGTCATCGATTATCAGTTCATTGGGCGCCGTGGTCAAGGATAGACGACACCCTGATGACGTCATAAACGAATAACGAAAAAAGTACTGCAGTGCAACATGAACGATTCCTCAGAACTCATTCGCATTTTGGAAAGCCTCGATGACGATGAATTTTTTTATTTTAATAATATAAAATGTATGACGAGCAATTTTGTGTTGTGTTATTTTCTTTCTCAGTATATAGGGTATTGACTGAAACCTCTATTATATTTGCTGATGACATTTCCATTATTATTCCGCATACAAAAGATCAGAATTTAAATAATAAATCGAATCAAGTATTGAACCAGGTTACAAATTGGCTGACACATCACAAGCTAGAGATTAATTTTAATAAAACCAAAATTATGCAATTCCCACCAGTTCAAAAATCACCACTAAATATCGCTTTTACTTACAATAATATACCTATAGGAACTGTTAACAACTTCAACTTGTTAGGCCTGGAAATCGACTGCCATATAAACTGGAAAGCCCATATAAATAAAGTAAATAATATCAAAATTCACTTACGTATTACGAGAAAGAAAGAAAACGACAGATGTCCCCAACGCTCTGTAAGCATATTACGCATACACATCTTCGTGGTTGTCATACGGTGTCATGTTGTGGGGAAATAGTAAATGCACAATGCACAGCAATTATTAATAATGCAAAAAAAAAATTATAAGAATCTTGGAAAACATAAAAATTCCAGAAAGTTGGAGGCCCCACTTCAAAAAGTTTAAAATTTTGACTTTGACGTCTATTTATATTTGGGAAACACGCGAATTTGTATAAAACCACCCAGATATTGACGTATTTGTTAACCAAATTAAGTGTAACAAATTATATACAAATACTCAATTAGACCAAATAAAAATAGGCTACTATTGCCGAAAACTACTCTTGCTTTGCGTAGATCTAGTCCCTACTGTATGGCAGTACATTTTTTTTAAAACCTTCCAAATGACATAAAAAAATTAACGAGTGCTACATTATTTTTATCCAAATTAAAGTTATATTTAATTGAAAAATGTTTCTATAATTTAAATGAATATTTTGGTACAAATATTATTTAATTTGTGTGGACAACTTCGGCCTGTGCCTATCTAATTTAATTTAATTTTTTTATTCAATTATTATTTTTTACTTAATTTTATTATTATTTATAATAATAATTATTATTTTTTTACTTGACATTGTGATTATTAATTTAATTAAATTTACAGTATTTTAAAATAATATAATCTAATAATGTAATTTATTAATGAAATCTTGCAGTTTAAAAATAATATTTAATATTTTTATAATTGCTACGACCAAACTGGGTTCAAATGCGGACTATTTTTTAAAAAAAATCACATCTATTATTACCATTTGATTGCAATAAAGATTATGATTATGATTATCTCAAAATCATCTAGTAGCATCAGCATCATATCAAACCCCCATTGTCATAAGAGCGTAAGACTTCTTCTGTTCTTCACTTTGCCTACGCCTCCTCCGACACATAAAATATTTGGAGTCGATCTCTGTGTATTTTGGTTAGATCGGTATTTCGAAATCGATACACAACGTGCCACACGGCTACATCTCTAAGAAAGTTTCAAAAAGGAAGGTCAGCTACGCCGTTGTCGTCCAGAACTGACAGTGACGTCATTACGATGAAGAGTAGTGTTGTGGTATATATTACTAGGATTACTATTTTATTGTTATTGTTTGTTTTTATTTATGTATAAAGTACATATATAAAAAGAGTGAAAGACAGCACAAGATTAAATAAAACATACCAGATTATAAAGAGTCATTTATTGCATAAAAAACCAACAAAATCAAGTTATTTTGTGTTATCGATATATCAACTCTTGGAAACACTATTTTTTTCGTAGGTATTTTTGTTTACTTTTCGCTTTGGCGTACAGGACACGGTAATGCGTTTTTGGCGTGGTGCTCAAAAGGTTAATGTTCAATATCATCATTAAAAAAAAGTCGTTTAAATTCTAATACATATTTATTTGTAAATAGCGTGCAATTTGGTATTTTCTAAATAATTTGCATGCAAAATTTGGAAACGATTGTAACGTCAAAACACATCTCGTGTTGACATTTATACGTGTGAATTGACGTGTTAGTGACATTTTAGTGGCTACACGGGCTCCGCCCACTCCCCCGTTCTATTATGTATGTATTATAGTATTCTATGGTTATTATAGTCTCGCTGAAAGTCAAACACGGCTCGACCGATTTTGACGAAATTTTTTGTGTCTGAATGGGTCCCTAGATGATTTAGAATCACATTTCGACCTGGTAAGTGGGAGCTGTTATTGATATCTAGACATCACTCGTGCGAAGCCGGTGCGTATCTCTAATTCGATATAAAATGTGGTAATCTACTCCGCATTTAAGTTTCTCTGTGTGATGGAATCTACGATTATCCCTAAAAGTTACCAACAACGCTTTGATCTGCTGAAGTATAATGCAGCTTCCAATACGGCAAGCTATCCGATACCTTCATACATTATTATTTCGATCGATCCATCTATACACAATTTAATTATTTGTAAATACAGTATAAAGATTATAAATTATTTTTTAACTTTGCAGGTCGTGGTTGATAAGAAATATGTACCCGAAGAAGTGATGCAAGTTTTTAAACAGAAAGCCAAAGTGTTGCCAGCCTGGGACCCTATGGGTACTTTAGCCTGTCCAGTGTGTTGTAAAGAATAGATAAAAAATTGTATTTTTTATTTTCAGAAGCCTTGAATCTTAAAATTAATTTGAATGTTTCGATATTCAAGGCAATTTTCATGCATATAGTAAATTCATAATATTTGAGTAAAATGACAATAAATATAATTTAATTAAAATGAACTGCGATGTTGCCATTTAAATATTTAAAATATCCTTTTTTAACTCTGGTCTCAATTTTTTCATAATGTACACCAGGACAACATTCAGGGCTTCTGAAAGCTAGATGTTTACAATCAGTTTAAAAACTAGTGAAATGTTTTTTTTTTAATAAGTAAAAATATGAACTGATAGGCAACGCCGTCTTAGACCATACCGGGGCCCTTGGGCACCCAAGAATTTGAGGCTCTGTTGGAAAATAAAAAAAGTGAATGACAAAAACATTTTTCTGCTATGATCTTATATTTATTATAGTTGATTGGTAAAACTCAAATAATAAGTCATTAACGCGCCACTTTACAATGAGGTAATATATTTGACAGATTTCATAGCGGGGTCCATGGAGGTTAGAGAACAGGAGAACGATCGCTGTAGAAAATAGTGTCCCAGAAATATGGACAAAATAAGTGAGGCGCTGTGATCGCTAAGTTGTCTCAATAAAAGCGGGCTATTGTGCGCTAGTTTGAAATGATTATAATATAATTCAAAGAAAAAAAAGAAAATAACGTAATGATTATTATTTATTATTGTTAGTATTTATTAATAAATAAATTATAAATTATGTTTTTATAATTTTAATTATTATAAATAATATAAATTATTATGGTATTTATTATTTTATTTATAATATTTTTCCATTTTTTAATGTTTCTTTTTGTCAAAAATTAAAAAATTACTTCGCAAATACCTCCAACTTACCGACGGCAGCGTCGCTATAAATTCTACAATTTTTAGGGAACAGGCGGGCTATGCTTTAGCACGTAGCGATCGTTCTCCTGTTCTCTAACCTCCATGGCGGGGTCGATAATTTCTTAGGAAAATATAAACTTTAATGTTTCTTTCCTAAATTTTCTTTCAAAAAAGAAAATATTCTATAACAACATCAATACGTGTATTCTTTTTATTTATTACATTAAACTTTAGGCTAAACTTATCTAAAAATAAGGATCGTAACAATTGTTTGCTATAAAGTCTAATATTTTTCGTTGAAAATTATCATATAAAATAAATCATTTGCCGTAGTTTTTTGAAGTATTAATATTATTAAAAAGTACGAAACATTGACATATATATTACTGGCGTAGAAACCATTTTTACGAAATGATATTTTTATCTCATAAGTTGTTATAAATACATAGACTGCCGAAAATTTAAAAAAATCCAGGCTATAAGTAATAAGTAAGGCGACTGTACAGCCCGACAAAAACTTTTATATGGCGGCGAAACACGGAACTACATATTTTCTACCCAGGAAATCTGTCAATGCCACTTTTTCCGGCAATGTGTGGTTTGTCACTGCTCAGGGTTGCCAGAAAGTCACTAACAACGCCCTCATTTACTCTGTATTTTTTGTCGGGTTATATTTTCCTAAAATAGAAAAAGGATGATGCCCTAGGCACGGGCCTCTTGTGCCCTTATGGTAAAGACGGTACTGCTGATAGGGAATAAACAATGTATGCATATTACAAAAGCCCACATGTATTTATGTATTTTTCCTGAGACGTGCACATGCGCATATATTCTAGCATATTTGATGAAGTATAAAATATGAAACACATCTCTACTCTTCAGCACGACAGCTTTAAAATTTCGATGCTATCCAAACAATATAAAGCAACATCTTTGCAAATGCATATTAATCACGCATAGACACTATATATGTACGCACGCACACACACGCGCACGCACACACACACACACACACACACACACACACACACACACACACACCCACACACACGCACACACGTACGCACACACACACACACACACACACACACGCGCGCACACACACACACGCGCGCGCGCGCACACACACACACACACACACACACAAAACACAAGCGACACAGAATTACACGTGCGCTTATTTAATTCCGCTTTTCCAAAAACACACTTTTACTCATTCATAGAAACATATCTCGTGGTAGGTATTTGACTGGTGCTTTTCCTTGTAATAAATGATTCAATTATGTGTTCATAACTTAAAGTTACCGATATATTAACTTGAAGAGTACACTGTTCAATTATATTTGTTACTTTTGTTAATAAAACATCAGATTCATTTCAATTTTCATTTGATTTATTTGTATTACAACCCAGGAATGAGTTTTTGTACTGCTGGCCATAAAATAAAAGACATTGAGAAAGAAAGATTTAAAGAGTTTTAAAATATTTGGTAAAAGCAAATATAAATTATGGCTCGTCGCTAAATGGAGTGACAACCTGGTAATACATACCGTGTTTTGCGGTATTTCTTGGGGGTAGCCTATTTTCTGCTGTGAAATTTGAGGGTCTGTAATGGTGATGATGAAATCTACACATATAAATAAAATTGAAGTTTCTGTTTGTAATATCAAAATAACTGTCTTTTATTGTGCTCAATCTTCAACGAATAGACATGAAAACTATTTTTTTTTCTCAGTCCAAGCTAATCTCGGAATGGCTTAACTGAAATAAATTTTACGAACAGATATTGATTCGCCGGAGTTCTAGGTTATTTTGTATAATTTGATCGAGAACTATTTAGGGTCGATTGTACACTGTGTAACACTATACGGCTATAAGATTTATATCGTGGTATATACCATAAATTGGGCATTGGGGGAGCGATAACGAAATTATAATGTAAAATGAGTCATGTTATTGTGTAACGAAAGTTTGAGTATTCCAGATTCACCAGAAGACGCGCGACTTTTTTTGGATCATACCTCTTTATAAACATTCGCTTCTAGTTTGCGCGTTACACAATTAACATAAGACGCATTTTACAATGTACAATTTCGTTACAAAAATTCGCTTCCATTCCGTTCCGCAGCAGACCTCTAAGGTGTAATGTGATGTGAATGTAATAACTAAGATGAAATGCCATACGAAACAAAACAGCTTTTTGCATTTGTTTTGCTACTTGCTAGTATTCTGTGAAACGTGTTTTTTTTTTTCTATAGCCAAGTCGTCCATATGTAATGTGACCATATTCATATTTTCTAGATGCCAAGATTCCTTTTCTGAGGAGCCCTTCTGGGTAGGTACCATGTGCTTACATATTTATGTCGTCAAATTGCACTGTTCCAGTCGCATGGGTTTTAGAGAACCATTATAATTACTGTGTGGATCTGTGACTGCCTCGTTAGTCTAGTGGTTGTAGTAGTGCGACTGCTGGTCATGAGGTCCTGGGTTCGAATCCCGGGTCGGGCCGAAAAATCAATTACTAAGTTTTTCCGTCAAGAAATTCTGAGTAGCTGTCAGGAAGTTGGCGGTATCTCACCCCCGTGCCTTGGAAAGCGCGTAAAGCCGTTGGTGCTGCGCCTGATCTCTCTCCGGTCGTGTCGGTTTACCGTCCCATCGGATTATGAGAGTGAGGGAATAGAGAGTGCACCTGTGCTTGCGCATACACTTGGGCACTATAATCCTCACTATAATCCTGTCCTGCGCCGATGGCTAGTCTACGTTGAGGTTGGCCGCCGTGACCGAAATTCGGTCTGGAGGACATTATTATTTTAATTACTGCCTGTATCTGTAGTCTATTTCTTTGACGTTGGCTGCAGGTGTCCAAGTACTGAAGTAACTGCTTACCATCAGGCGGTCTCTTACTTCGATTGTATCTTCAGTTTTATAAAAAAATATGGCATGTAGTAATGGCGTTACATAATCCATCACCTCATTTTGTCCTGTGGGTGTCATTATTTAGGTCTTCTGTTTAAAACGCTGGCAGCACGTCGTGCAGAATGCAAACACCACGAATGTATAAAGCGACGCAGATTTTAATCGGTCACTAAGCTTGAGCGTGATAAATTTCCATTTTGAGAATGCTAAGCAGATTTCAAATGTGAAGACACTGAGGTTGTCTATAGTGTTGAATCCCTTTTTAAAACCAAACTGAGTTTTACACGTAATACCTCTAGTTTCTGAAAGTCACTCTTAACTAATTTTTGATTAAATGTTGATTAAATGTTCCATTAACTTAGCTCACATGTAAGGGCTAGACGGTAGCTCGTAGGGCAAGAGGTAGGTCCTTAGTTCTTAAAATTGGTATTACAAGTTGAGCTTTCTAATCACCGGGGATATTTCGAAATAGAAAATATCATTAATAATGTCAATAAAATAATATGGGCAATGAGAACCAGACTTGGTGAGAAGGGAATATGAAATTCCGTCAGCTCCAGAAAAATCTTTTATTTAAAAGTAAATAAAGTTGGGCTAAAGAAAAATTGTTGCTCCAATTTATCATTAAATTATCCATTAGTAATAGAAATAATTCAGAAGAAATAAATAATAGAAATAAAGAAGTAAATTCAGGATACAGTATATATCTTGACCAATATATATAGGTACTGTATCCTGAATTATTTACATACTTACGTACGTACATACTTGTTGGATTTTACGAAAGACCTGTACCTAAAATCCAACAAGTATGTACTTCCGAAAACTAACATTGCTGACAACGCATCTGCATTCTAATTCTTAAATCGAGGATAAATGTAGATGTCTATGGGCCACAGCATCCACTTACTATCAGGTGGACTGTGTGCTCGTTTGTCACCCTTATTCTATAAAAAAGAACTTAGCAAAAAAAAGAGGAGCAAGAACCCCACCTTGTACCTACTTTTATTAATGACTTGCACCTAGAATTACAAAAAATATACGGTAAATCAAAACAGTTTAAAAGTAAACTTAATTCATATCATTTGTTAAAACAACTCTAGCGTAGATAAACCCCTAGAGGTTTGCATGCTATAGTATTATACTGTGTAATATCACATAAATATGCTCAAAAAGTAACAAATTAATGTGCAAGTGCAATGATTGATTTTTTA